CTAAAAACGCCTTACTATACATGGTCGTTTTTTTCGGCTAAAGACGCCTTACTATACATGGTCTTTTTTTTCGGCTAAAAACGCCTTACTATACATGGTCGTTTTTTTCGGCTAAAGACGCCTTACTATACATGGTCTTTTTTTTCGGCTAAAAACGCCTTACTATACATGGTCGTTTTTTTCGGCTAAAGACGCCTTACTATACATGGTCTTTTTTTTCGGCTAAAAACGCCTTACTATACATGGTCGTTTTTTTCGGCTAAAGACGCCTTACTATACATGGTCTTTTTTTTCGGCTAAAAACGCCTTACTATACATGGTCGTTTTTTTCGGCTAAAGACGCCTTACTATACATGGTCTTTTTTTTCGGCTAAAAACGCCTTACTATACATGGTCGTTTTTTTCGGCTAAAGACGCCTTACTATACATGGTCTTTTTTTTCGGCTAAAAACGCCTTACTATACATGGTCGTTTTTTTCGGCTAAAGACGCCTTACTATACATGGTCTTTTTTTTCGGCTAAAAACGCCTTACTATACATGGTCGTTTTTTTCGGCTAAAGACGCCTTACTATACATGGTCTTTTTTTTCGGCTAAAAACGCCTTACTATACATGGTCGTTTTTTTCGGCTAAAGACGCCTTACTATACATGGTCTTTTTTTTCGGCTAAAAACGCCTTACTATACATGGTCGTTTTTTTCGGCTAAAGACGCCTTACTATACATGGTCTTTTTTTTCGGCTAAAAACGCCTTACTATACATGGTCGTTTTTTTCGGCTAAAGACGCCTTACTATACATGGTCTTTTTTTTCGGCTAAAAACGCCTTACTATACATGGTCGTTTTTTTCGGCTAAAGACGCCTTACTATACATGGTCTTTTTTTTCGGCTAAAAACGCCTTACTATACATGGTCGTTTTTTTCGGCTAAAAACGCCTTACTTTCCATGGTCGTTTTTTTCGTCTAAAAACACCTGACTATACAGTACATGGTCGTTTTTTTTTCGGCCAAAAACGCCTTAATATACGTGGTCGCTTCTTTGAGCCAAAAATTTTGGCTAAAAACGCCTTACTATATGTGGTCGTTTTTTTCAGCTAAAAACGTCTTACTATACGTGATAGTTTTTTGGGGGGGCTAAAAATGCCTGACTATACATGGTGGGTTTTTTTGGCTAAAAATTTCGGCTAAAAACTTCTTACTTTGCATGGTCATTTTTTTTTTGTGCAAAAAACGCCTTTCTATAATTTTTCTTTTTTTTCAGCCAAAAACGCCTTACAATACGTGGTCGTTTTTTCGGCTAAAAACGCCTTACTCTACATGGTCGTTAAGAACCACTGATCTAAGGTAATATTAGCTCATGCTCTGCTAACGCTACCTGACTGCGAGACTTTGTTATTATACCCACTCAAGTTTAATGTTAATCATTCAATTTTCACAGATTATGTCATCAAAATTCCACTCACTTTGTCCACTTACCCAAAATTCCAATTTCGAGACCTTGGAGACACTTGGCTATTAAAGGGTAAATATTATGGCCGTGCGTGAAGTCCACTCGGATTGTGTGAGTCTTTCGACCGTACTGACCCTCTGACGGAGACAAAACAATTAGTTGTGAGAATAATAATTAGGATTTGAAGGATGACCCGAATACACGAGTCAGTGATGTCGGCTGTTATTTTGCTAACCAATCTCTTTGGCCACCTGTCGAAGCTTCTCATCACATCTGCTGACTAAAACAATATCCAGGCCTCTCTGAGCCAGCTGAAGGCAAAAACAGAAAACATATGCACACACAATTAAATTAAATACAAACCATCGCTGCGTACTGCTGGATTTTTTTTTCCACCAAGATTTCAGCAGGATGTTTCAAAGCCTCACCTCCATGGCGTATGCTTTACCAATACCAGATGTGGCACCTGTGACAACTGCGGGAGAAATTAAGAGAATTGTTTTTGGACTTCTTTATCGCCGGAAAAACTTTACTGTCCTTTCCGGTGAGGATTTTCATGAGAGGAATTACTGCCTTGTCTAATTTTGTATTTCTCTTCCCTAACAAGAGAAGATAGACAAATAGTGAGGCTACTTATCACCCACTATAATGTACAACTTTCGGTGAACTGATCGACCAAAAGTTTTAATAAATTCTACAAACAAAATTGAAATCAAATTTTGAACTTTACCTGCCCATTGCCCATAAGTCCTTAAATCCACTTGCCAAAATTGCGATAAAATAAACTCTCTGAATCCGCAGTAACATTTCCTGGCCGCTTTCATGGAGTAGAAAACTAACGTGAATCCACCAATAATGACCAGGGCATCAGTCAAAGACATTTTGGCAGCGTGACACAAGGTGGTCCAACGATTAGTCTACATAAGAGCGAATAACATGTATTTATGTTCCACAATAACCTGTGCTCCTCCCTTGTTGCTCCGCCTCTTACCATGTGTGTCATGTATTTTAACATGCAAGAAAACACATGGGGGGGGGAACAAGAACAATTGAAATGGATGCATAGGTTCATATAATATTTTGGCAAATATGAACATCTTAACTAAATAAGATACAAACAAAACACATTAAATGGAGCTTGCCAAACTACATTGTTGACAAGCTGTCAAGAAGACAACATTGAGGACAGTCCCTCCTTCCCGCGATGCAATTTGTAATCACCATGTAGAACATTTGTTGTGAAAAAGCCCATGTAAGAGATAACCGGGCCTACATCACAATGACATCATCAAATTGAGCCGATGAGCCCCGCGTCCAGTCAAAGACACGCCGGCAATCTAATCACAGCAGATTGGAGAAGATGTTTCGTTTGCCCCATTTACAATATGTACATCCTTCCTTTTTGCATAGCGCTTATCAGACAAGCAGACTACGCGACACTGGCTGGCAGTTATGACCAAAATTAAGAAGATTATACTGCACTGAGTCAAGCTCTATCCTTAAATCCAATACACTGTGTTGTAAAATATGTTTCCAGTGCAATGTTATGAATGTGTGTGATCGAAACACAATCTGCAAAAGTTCACATCAGCAGAGACAGTCCTCCCCATTCATGTGAAGCAACGTCCGTACATTGATAAGCTCACAATGCTCCTGATTAAATGTTAGAATGATAACGTTTGTGATAGGTCCCCCAAAAAGTTACGTCTTCCACAAGTTGAGAAAATCCCTGACTGAGTAAGCTTAGATGTTTAGTCTAGCGTCCAGAAAAAAACGATTTTGGGGGCTTTGGAGCGTTTTTACATTAGCACGTTAGCCTTGTTCTGATAATGCTTAAAAAAGGGAATTTACCCTTAGACATGACAAATTTGTCATTTTTGACAAGTGCTCAATTTTTTTGGATGTTAATGTAGAGTCTTAGTCATCCAGGTCTAAAGCCACACCTAAAAAGTTTGAACTAAAGAAGCCTTTTGGTTGAAAGGTGAAACGTGTGCTACAAACAAGAGCAGGCCTGTTTCCTCGATTCAATAAGATTTATAGCTGGCATTTCAGTTTCTGAACCTTACACTTAATTCATAAACATTCCTAAATGTATTACTTTGTTAAATGCTATATTATTGTCATATTATTATTCATTATAAAAACCTGACGTACTCCAGAAAAAATGGAGGGCAGATTCGGAATCAGCACAAAAAAAAAAACCCCTCATCTCGAAAAGTTAATTGCATCTCTGATGAATTTTTAAATTTTTATCAGTAAAAAATAAGTATTTTCTGTCCATTTGCTGCTCCAGAAAATGAATGGATAAATGAATTTTGTGATCTCTGGCCACTGCTCGCAGTGACAATGTTTATTTTATTGGCTGGAATGCTGAAAAAAAAAAAACGTTTCCCAGAGAAGGGTTGAACTGGTATCCCGTGAGCCACTAGAGGGAGCCACAGTTAGCCCTGAATTTCGAGAGGACAGAAGATGATGGGGAAGACGCCCTCACGTTCATGACACTTACATGATTAAAAGTTTGTACTTATGGTTCGTCCCAATTCAAATCACAAACAGAAGCAAGCATGGAAGTTGAAACCCATCACAAGATAACGCACAATTTGACTTTTACTTTGACGTGGTGACATAACCTGTGACCTGTGTTCAACAGAAATGCAATACTGATTTTGCCGTAACCGTGTAGGTTATTTTGTGAGTGTGGGTACGAGTTGAACAGATTATGCCTTTCTGCTTTTATCTTCTGATAACTTAATCAGCTCGCGTTTAATTCTCAATTTCCCTTTCCTTCAGACTATTCAAGAACACCCACGGGAATTTTGTAAAGCTGTGATCCTGGAAAGACGTGTGGTGCCACCGTCATGGTGCCCATGTTAATTGACTTGAGCAACTAAGTGAGGTCAATGAGGAGGCAAATGTCTCAGCCACTCGTTGGCTCCTCCTTACAGGGTTTGATTAATTCCGGGTGGCGAGAAGCTTCCTCAGAGAGAATAAAGAATTCCCGGAGGGATGTTCTTTTAAAATTGACAACGTACGACAACGTGCAGGAAACGTCCGGAATACGATACGCCGAAGGGCATCCATTTCTGCCAAAGTTAAGAGGTGATGTTAAATTCAGCGGCGCTTGAACGCCGCCGTTGCTGCCTCCTCATCTTCGGCACAAGCTGCTTCTTTGTCGAGCGTGGCCGACTTGACTCGGGGAGGCTCGCCATCAGCGCCGTTAGCCATGTCACTAAGAGGCTTGAAGGCGGCAAGATGAGTTTAGCACAGCCTCCCCTGACTAATCTGATTACTGCAGCGAGGCAGCTATCAGTGTGCGAGTCAGGACAAACACATCATCGCACATGCATGTGCATGGAGGAGAGCCAGAGATGTGAAGATCCGCAATGCAGCCATGTTAAATGTGCTCAAACGCTCATTTGGGGGTTGTTTTATACTTATAAGAACAGAGGGGACGGGGGGTTCATTTCCAGCTGCTGTCACCTGGAGAGAAGCGCCATAGCAGAATTAGGAGTAGACATCCCAACTTTCACCTCATCTCCTTGGGCCCTCCCCCACCCTCACTCTCCCCACACTAGTATGGATTAAAAGCTAAAGGAGGCTGAGAAGTCACAGCTTGAATGTCCTCCCCGGTCCTTTTCATTTTCTTATACCTGTTACGTTGTCCTAGCAGTCTACCCCCCCACCCCTCCCCTTCCTTATTTTTAAATATGGATTCATTTTTTTAACTTGTTCTCATGCATCACCTGAGGTTTGGGGAGGGTCCCCAGTCCCGGGCAGGGAAGCAACAAGCGACGGGAGATTCGTTAAACTGCGATACGGAATTGTGACCGTATTTTAAAACGGGAACTTATACTTGAAGGAAGGTTAAGTATCTTTTTGTTCCTCTTGGATGACTTATGACATTTTTCGCGACAATTGGAACCACTCTGGAATTTGGATGGCATGCAACATTGACATGGATCCAATATATAGCCAACCAATCCAGGTAAGACGTTTTCAATTCTATTGAACTGTCCAGTTTAACAATGTTATTATCACTATGACTGGAAAGACCGATCGATCCTCTTAAGAACAAGGTCAAAAAAATTTTTTACTATTGCTTCTATGAACCTGTTAGCACTGTACATCATCCCCATTCGTTTTTTGTCTTTTATTGATTGACTGATTCTTTGGATGGGAAAGGTGATGGGAAAGGTGATGCGAGACCAAATGAACGTTAAGGCCAGATTTACCCGCATAGCCGCAGCAGCACTAATAGGCTTGCTAAGCACATACAGTACAAATAATTCGGAATCAGGAACATCACTTGAGGGACAGTATGCCCTTGTGGAGAGAGGTGGATGTTAGTTTGAAATTGTATTCTGTTCGGGGCAAAGTTCAGCCAATGTAGCCAAAACCCTCAACAACTGCCCCCAACTCCCTCCCTCAATCTGAATAAATAAAGATGATCACAAATTCGGCGGTGACTCCACATTTGGGACAGGAGAATGCAGTAAGTAAAAGCATTACAGTATATATTTAATACAGAGTAGGGATGAGTAATTGCTCTCTTAAAATGTTGTAATCAGTAGCTATTTCTGGAACGCGCATAACGTGCAGCCACACAGGGTGCCCCCCCCACCCCCACCCCCTGCACCAAAAAATGCTAGATGAAATAGTTTTGTAATCTGTGATGTCATGACCTGTCAGTCAAAGACGTTTAGATGGGGAGTTTGCACCCCCTTGTGGAATTGCTCTCTGTAGGAGACACGCAAGGTGAAGCACTGACTCTCAATAATTTGAACATCGAAACTGAAATCATTTCCACCTCGGGGCTGAATCACAAACAAATCTTTGAGCAAATCTTGAACTGATTTTCTCATGCTTCACTACAGTCCCCAGACTTCTCCTCCTCGTCACTGATGTGTCTGTCGGACTACTTGCCTGTTCCTATCAAGCCCGTTAGCCCATTTGCCACTCAAACAGCCTCGTGCAAGGGTGGGCAATTAATTTTGCCAAACCTTCTTGACCTTCTTGCCACCATCGTACAGGAAATAAGAAATAAGTTTTTACCACTGAGACAACTGTTGTCACTGTTGCTCGTCTCTTGGGGGGTTGGAAAAGTCTAAGACGATGTTGGCAACACTCAACACAAGTCGTATGTCTCGCCTGCTATCTCGCTTGTTACCTGCGTCTACATTTGTGCGCATAAAATAAAAGCAACACTTTCAAAATAAAAGCACCACATATTTAACTCTGACTTCATGGTCACCGTGAGAGCCGGTCAAAGGTGGGCCGTACTTAGCCCACATCTGGCTTAGAGGGCGGGGCTGGAAAATGCCAACTTTCACGGGTTCAAGAGGTAGTTCGAATGAGGCACGTGAACAACAAATGGCTAAATGTAAAGTACCCAAGAAAAAAAATGAGATGCCAATTTTCCCTGATTGAATTGGCTGGTCATGAATTGACCTGCGGGAACACAGGGTTGAATTTCTTCCTCTTTGTAACAACTCGTGTCCATGTTTAACTCTCTCCGCATATTGTTCCTGTTGCCCGGAGGCAGTGATGGCTCGGAGTTTTGTCGACATATGTCCATCTTAGGACTCAAAGGCTGCTGAGTGCCGAGTGACGGCCTCCCACCACCCGCTGTCGCACGCCCTTAGCCTCGCTCGCCATCTCTCCGGGAGGACCCCATAAACGCCGTGCGAAGGAATGGCAAGTCGCAGAGACCCTCGCTTCCTGCACAACCTCTCCTACCACCCTCGATGGCAGCACGACTCATTCAAACCGAGGAGGAAAAGACACATGTGGACAAACAGCGATGTAGCTCATAGTCTCTCTCTTTCCTCATCCACTTCATCATCATCATCGTTGTCGTTAAAACCACAGTTGCCATGTTTCCCAGTGCAGCGTTTTAAGAGCTGTTGGGCAAGTTGGCTCCTAATGCCCTTACTCCTCATGTCAACCCTACCTTGTCAAGCCTGGGCAACAACATTCAAGGTAGCTCTGGTAGGACCGTGGACTTGTGACCCCTTTTACTCCAAATCCTTGCCGGACACGGCGGCCCGCCTCGCCACCGCGCGCATCAACAAGGACCCCCACCTTAACAAAGGCTATTGGTACGACTATACGCTGATCAACGAGGACTGCAAGTCATCCCGTGCCATAGCTCGCTTCGCTGAGCTAGAAGGATACGGCGCGGCGTTCCTGGGACCGGCCAACCCGGCGTACTGCTCTTCCGCTGCTCTGTACGCTAAGAACTGGGATGTTGGAATACTCTCCTGGAGTTGCCTGAAGCCAAACATGGGCGAAGGAGGGATGTATCCCACTTTCCTGCGCCCACAGCCGTTGTCTTCACGTGTCCTTTTCACAGTGCTGCGCTACTTCCGCTGGGCCCATGTGGCCGTCATCTCGGAGGAGAGTGACATCTGGGAGGCCACTGGGTATGAGCTGGCTTCATCTCTGAGGGCTTTGGGCCTGCCTGTTAACCCTGTGGTGACCATGGAGGAGGGCAAGGACGGGCCGAGGAAGGCTTTGACAAAAATCCGGGAAACAGATCGGGTTCGAGGTGAGCCGCGTTGCTTCGCACAAAAAAAAAACTCAACGCTGGTAAATTGCTAATGAAGCCATTTCCTCTTCACAGTGATCATTATGTGCATGCCTTCTGTCCTGATCGGCGGACGATCCCAGTACGACCTTTTGCTATCCGCTCTCGCGATGCGAATGATCGACCGTGGCTACATTTTCATCCCCTACGACACGCTGCTCTACGCACTTCCGTACCAAGACGCTTTCTACTACGCCCTCGGCAACGACACCAAGCTGAGGAAAGCCTACGACGGAGTTCTCACCATCACCATGGACTCCGGAGACCGCAATTTTTATCAGGCCTTCAAAGACGCTCAGGACAGATACGAAATCCGCAGCGGCACCGCGGCAGAGCACGTGAGAACATCTGCTCAGATCATACGCGACTTTCAAGGGAAGCGCATTTGTCGCTCACGTGAGCACATGATCGCCATCTGTCTTCCCTTTCTAGGTTTCTCCATTCTTCGGCTCCATCTACAACATGATGTACTACATCGCGATGGCGACGGAGCAGGCTCGCGCTGATAGCGGAAGATGGGTGACCGGTGAGGTCCTCGGTGGCAGTAAGGGCGGCTTTGAATTTGAGGGCTTCAATCAGCACTTGAGGGCGGGTCGGGACGGTGAAGGCATGCAGGCTCGCTACGTGGTGCTGGACTACAGCGGGATGGGAAACTCTCTGTACTCCACTCATGTGCTGGAGGCCGCACACACGGACGGCAGGATCGGAGGGTTGAAATATCTCGGGAGATCAATCCATTTTGCTGGCAGCACCCCATACACGGACTCCAGTTGTTGGTTTAGCCCTTACTTTGCCTGCAGCGGAGGTGAGTGACGCCGCGGGGCCGTCATAAGAAACTCGCATTCCAGCATCGTCAACCCCTTTGTCCTCCCAACAGGAATGGATTCTACCACCATCTTCCTTTTCCTTCTCCTCGCTATGGTGGTTGCCGGTGCTATAAACATCTTCATTCATTTCAAGTACGTACAGTAGGAAATTCGCGCTTGTGTGGCGGTACAATTTCATTTGTAGTTCTTTTCATTCCAGGAGGAGCGGCAGAGTGGGCTTCACCTTTGGAGACGGGGATGGATTCGCCAAAGTGCTCCTGACTCTGGATGACTTGGTCTTCATTAACACTCAAATCAGCAAAAGGGTCAGTGCTCACAGTGTTGTCTCGACTCTTTTGTCAGCTGTTATTGGGTTGTTTTTTTTTTTTTCCATTTAAATTGGTTCAGTTTTGAAGTGGAAAGCCGACTGCCCCAAATTGTGCCGTGACAAGGGGCTTTTTGTGTCGTTTTCTTGGGAGGGACAGTGGCCGATTCTAAATTTAAGATTATTTTAGTAAATCACAATACATCTTTTTTTTTTTTTTTTTAAATACATCGTTTCAGATCTTGTTAAAAAAAAACAAAAAAAAACTTTAATGCCTGACCCATCAACGAATCACCAGAAAAATCAGATGTTTGGGAACTGAGATGTTCATTAACCCTGATAACAAAATCCACAAAAATATTTTTGCCATATCATGTTGTTTTAGATATTTGTCGTATTCCATTTATAAGCAGTATGTAAATTACATCTGAAAATGAACATTTGGGGTAAAAAAATCATATTTTAAACCTGCAGTATCAAATTTCATTTATAAGCATTATGTAAATTACATCTGAAAATGAACATTTGGAAAAAAATCATATTTTAAACCTACAGTATCAAATTTGATACAGATGATTTAATGTAATATAAAGAATGAGTTACATAGTGAAAATGCATGTATCAAATATGATACAAATGGCATTATAGGGTTAAGACAGACGCGAGGCCATCAACATTGGACCATTTGGGCACGCAGAGAAAAACTGCAAAGCCTAAGCTGTGAAATTCTGATGGCCGAATCAGACCTGAAATGAAAAGACAAAAGAGCACATGTAGCGACTTTTGAGACTAGTGGTATACTTTTCTTTCCCTCCTAAATCTTCTCTCGCATTTTCTCCTCGGTGTACGGTTTTAGATGCACCCGCTACTATTGTTAACGTAATAAACACAATTTGCTCTTTTGCTATGATGTTGAAAGCAGAAGCTGACCGATGAAAGCATCATGAGAAGTGCGCTGGACATGAAGACGCCTCACCACTCGGTGTCCGGTCGCAGTTATTTGGCCTCCACACCGGACAGCTCCAACGTTGCTGTTTTTGAGGTGAGTTGGGCACATGAGTTCTTTTCGGAGCTGCGATTTTGTCCACGATTATTTTTATTTTCAGTCCGTGTTGTTCCTTGTAAATCTCAGGGCGATTGGGTTTGGTTGAAGAAAGGCCCACCCGGAGCTGTATCTGGAATCAATAGCAGCACCGAGTCAGTCTTCATCAAGGTCAGTGTTTTAAGGAAGGAAGTTGTGCCACGCTTTGAATTACGTCGACGATTTTTTTTTTTTTTTTTGCAGCTCAGAGACATGAGGCACGAGAATCTCAATCTGTTCCTGGGACTCTTCTACGACTCTGGCATTTTTGGAGTGGTGACGGAGCACTGCTCCAGAGGCAGCTTGGAGGACCTGCTTAGCAACGAGGACGTACGTCTGGACTGGATGTTCAAGTCGTCCCTGCTGATGGATCTAATCAGGGTACGGGAGAAACAAAAAGACACACTCATGCTTTGTAGTGCTCTTTCCCAAGGGTGTTGTACGATTCGCTCGGCATGTCTCAACAGGGAATGAAGTACCTGCACAATCGAGGAATCATACATGGACGCCTTAAATCCCGAAATTGTGTGGTGGACGGGCGCTTTGTACTGAAAGTGACTGATTACGGCTTCAATGAGCTTCTCAATGCCCAAAGTATCATCATGGAAGAAGAAAAGCCAGAGGGTGAGTTTATATCATGTCCTCAATTTCCTTTTTCTCGATACAATATAATCACTTTCGTCCACTTTGCTTCATCTTCATGGCTTTGACTTCAACGAAAAGACCTGTTCTGGACCTCCCCTGAGCTGCTCCGCAATCTTTCTCTGAGGAGAAGGGGGACGTTTCCGGCGGACGTCTACAGTTTTTCCATCATTGCACAGGAAGTGATTTCCCGCTCCGCCCCTTTTTGTATGCTGGACATGCCACCCAAGGGTGAGTGACACGGCAGTCAAGATCCGCAGACCACAATGTTTGTCTTTTTTTTTTTTTCCGTTTTTAATCTTGCCGTCATTGTCTCGCATCAATTAGGGGAGGGAAATAAGCATTACAAACTGTGGCCGAAAACCCCAAACAATACCTTGTTTGCACCGCTATAACAATAATAGTCAGCGCACACGATAAAAGCAAGACATTCAATCTGCTTGTGCGTCTCCATGTTATTGTTTAAGGCGGCGTTGTCTGTGTGTTTTGGCAGAGATTATCGGCAAGGTCAAGGAACCCCCTCCTTTGTGTCGGCCCTCCCTGTCGGTGGACGAGGCCCCCCTGGACGTCATCCAGATCGTCAAGCAGGCCTGGAGCGAAGAACCCGATAGGAGGCCCACATTTCACGATATTTTTAAACAGGTGAAAAGACACAAAATGCACATTGGGTGGACACGGTGGTAACCATAGCCACTCTTGTCTCTGTTTTGCGTGAACAGTTTAAAAGCATCACCAAAGGCAAGAAGACCAATATCATCGACTCAATGTTGCGCATGTTGGAGCAGTACTCCTCCAACTTGGAGGATCTGATCCGGGAGAGGACGGAAGAGTTGGAGGTGGAGAGACAAAAGACGGACCAACTGGTGGCTCAGATGTTGCCCAAGTGAGTTCACGCCAACGTGTGGGAGAAGCCCTTTTCAATCATATTTAGTCATATTTTTTTAGAGACACATTTAAGCACTTGGAGTCAGACTTTAGGTAAACTCAGCCCAGTCAGTTCGGCTTAGAAATGAGCAAGCAATAAACATGCATTGCGTGATTTCTTCCTTCACGAGCACCTTTTAATGATTTTGAATTGTGAGTGAGAAGTGTGATACCGAGTGAATGTTCAATAATAATACTGGTCAACAGCATATGTGTGTCTCTCAACGTAGTATTGACACCATAACTTTTTTTCGAGCATATCAAGGTTTGAAGATATTTTCGTTTTTTGTTGTTTTTAATTCTATCCTATAGTACGTTTTTGCGCAAGCAAAAACGGATTTTACATGATTTTACATGAGGTTTCAGCCACCGGTTGAGATGGATCCATAGTTTGTTCTGATCTAAGAAACTAAAATGTCCAAATTTTGACTGGTGCCATGATTACACGTGTAATTAATCCTTAAAGGGGGGGAAATTGCGGTGCCAGTCCCAATCCCTCGTGCGTCTTCAGTGCCACTGCCTGTCAATTAGTGCTGCCAAATTAATTCCTTGCCATCATCTGTCTAGTTCATTCGTGTCCACTAATCATTTGTGTGTTCGGGAACTTCGCCATCATTTGTTTTGCTTCATTCATTTCCGGTACTTATTCGAGCTGCGCTAAGGCAGTGGGAATTCGGGAATGTTTACTCCAACCTTGTCCTGTTGTGTCGTGTGTGTCCCCCGTGATAGTACTCGCCTAGCCCTCCCCCCCATGATAGTACTCGCTAGATAGTCCAAACCGTGACAGCGCACCTCCCCAACTCCCACACTTCCCCAGTTGCCATCACGTATCGGGGTCGTAACCGTTGCCGATTCTCAAACATGGTCCTTAATAATGGCGTGCGTTTATGAAAGTCCGTCGTCATGATAAATGGGCACAGAGAGTGCATGATTTGATGGAGCAAAATAGCAACGCTAGCTGTACTAAGCTAGTATTAGTCCTGTAATCAAGCGGATATTGGCCACAGCTGCGATGTCGGTAGCATGACTCATTGGCAATGGAGTGTGTATCATGATAACGTTTCATATGGAATGTACAATCAATTCAAAGTGATAGAGTTGATAAACATAGCCGCCGAGCATAAATATTGATAATCCATTGCCGTGACCGAATCCTCAGCTGCCCGAGTTCCCTATGCTCTGTTTGCTAGTCTTAGGAATTCTTTTTTTTTTTTTTTCCCCTCCGCAGGTCTGTAGCCCAGGCGCTGAAGACAGGCAAGCCAGTCAAACCTGAGCACTTCAATGAGGTCACGCTCTACTTTAGCGACATCGTGGGCTTTACCACCATCTCGGCTCTCAGCGAACCCATCGAGGTGGTCGACCTGCTGAACGACCTCTACACGCTATTCGACGCCATCATCGGGCTGCATGACGTGTACAAGGTGAGTGCTGCGGGCGCTATCCTCCCTGGAAACACACGAAAAGGTGTTAATTGGCTTTCATCTTGGCGATCTTGAGGTGGAAACGATTGGAGATGCTTACATGGTGGCCTCCGGAGTCCCGAATAGGAATGGCAACCGTCATGCCGCTGAGATGGCCAACATGTCACTTGACATCCTCCACTGCATCGGCACCTTCAAGATGAGACACATGCCTGAGTTAAAAGTTAGAATCCGGATCGGTTTGCACTCCGGTAAGCCGTGGCATGAAAATTGACGGGAATAAACATGTAACCAAGCAATCGTGGTGAGAAAATAGTCACAAATAAGTGATGGTCTTAAAACAGGTCATGAAAAATGCTTCTTTATTCCTCTTGTGCCCCACTTTTAAATATTTCCGCATGACCCCATTGAAATTTTTCAGAAAGAACTCACCCTAAATCCTTCCCACATCTAGTAACGCTTCAAAACGTAATCACGCACGTACATGTGCCACTAAACTGTTGCCTGTGGTGTGGCACAAGGCTGGCGAAATAAAATACAATCAATGAAAAGTTAATTTGTTGCAGATCGGTACGCATGCGGTAACACAAGCTGCTAAGGAAAGGAGGTATTTTTACCTCCTTGATCCCCGTCTGGAACTTATTCCTGGACTAGTGAGGCACGATCCACTTAGACTGCTGTCATCCAATTAACACAAAGCATCCACCACAAGTCACCGTGACTCATCCAGTCGTAAGAGTCAAGCTTTCATTTTTCAAGAAGCATATTTTGATCTGAAATGAATTGGAAACTGGAACTGGTATTGAACGTACACCGCAAACTTACACACACACAAACAGGCCTTTTTGCCATTATTGCGTATGTGTCCCAGGGTCATGTTTTTTAATTCAGTTAGTTTTAATTTCTTTTGAGAGCAGCTTTTTTTTTTTTAACTTTTCCTAAAATGCTTCATTTTAGTGTCGTTTTTATTCGTTTTTTTTTTTTTGTTTTTTTTAAATATATGAATAATTTTTTTTAGTGCAACATAAAAAAAGAACCCCACGAAATAGTGTGTAATAAGGGCAACTAAACTGCAATTCTCAAACGACTGCTTGACCTTCCTTCTTCTGCATGGACAAATAGCAATACCGAAATTAATACATTTAAAATACATTTTCATTACAATTGTAATTTGTCTTTGAAACGTAAGATGTAGCTTCAATTTCAGTTTCATTTTTTTAAAATGCCCTTTTTTTGATTTTTTAATCTAACAAACTTGGCGCGTGCGCTTTCAGGCCCAGTCGTAGCAGGAGTCGTGGGCCTCACGATGCCTCGCTACTGCCTCTTTGGAGACACAGTCAACACAGCATCTCGAATGGAGTCCACCGGGTTGCGTGAGTATAAATTCACATACTTTCTAGAAGGACAGGAAGTTTTTGTGTGTGGGAGGGTTTTTTTTCTCCCCCCCCTAAGACTAACGTGGCCGAGGACAGGTGTGTGCATGCTGCTTGAGGCTAAACAGGGCTTTAAGTGACGAGTCCTTTCTAATCTCTTAAGACTATAAACAGAATTAGAGGTCGATTCAAAGTTTTCCTGTAAATAAGATGCTATGCCCTGGTGGCCTGGTGCATGTTCCTGAAATAAGGACAAAAGGCATTTCCAAGGAGATGAACCAAAATGCCACATGCACAGATCATCCCGTGACATTTCACATCATGCTGGGTGCAGAGCTGGCTTAGGGGCGGAACTTTTTTGGGGGAGCACGATCCGTCTCAAGATGGAGGTCGACCTCCAAGCTGTACTGAGTTAGGAAAATGTTTTCCTGTAGAGTTTGACTGAATCTGTCCCAATGGCTCCATCATAAAGCCCTGAAACTATAACGGGACAGTAAAGTCCTATTTACAAATTTGCCTTTCTGTAATGCTCTACAGGGTCACAAGAAGGGGCCAAAGCCCTGAAATTATGAACCGCTGTCAAGAAATTACGTTGAAGTGATACACCTGCAATTTCACACTACATTGGGGAGGAGCCCAGTTTAGCCTGGTTAGTGAGTGGAGGTTACGGAGAGTCATCACTGCATTTGCAAATGTGCAATTCCTGTCTATTTTTTCTAAATCAAAATATTAGAAAGCCATTTATTCTCAATGGTAGTATTTTAAGGTGAATCTGAAATGATATTCCAAATATTTTGGAATCATAGGTTTTGGTATCATTTGGGTGGTGGGGGTTGACGGTACTTTCACTCGAAAGATATTCTACCTGAATTAGTTTTTAAAAATTCACATTTTAGTTTTGATCCCAAAAGGTCAATTCAAAAATGAATTTTCTAACCGTTTTCTACAGCACTTAGCTGTCGCAGGTGAGCTGCCTTTGATTGAGAGGCCCGCAAACAGCGACAAACCTTTCACACATAGGGAAGTCTTTCATTTTTATAGCGCCAATTCACACCAGACATTAACTCTAGACACTATTGTGCAAGTCTCGAATGAAAAACGCTCTCAAAGTAAGAAACGTCAAGAAACTCAGCCAAGCGATAAATCTGCAGTCTGGTGCCTCCAAGTGGTTGAATCTCAGATATCAAGCGGAATCGTTATTTTTACCAAATGGATTTCGGTTTTGTGCCGACATGAATGTTAACCGTGGGTTTGTGTGCGTGTGTGTTGTGCAGCTTACAGAATACATGTCAACCAGACCACAGTAGACATCCTGAACGGCTTGAAGCTGGGATACAAAATTCAAGTTAGAGGGTTGACGGAATTGAAGGTAAACTGGGGTGAAACGAACCGAATGCTTCCAAAAACGACAAACGCACGCACCGTGTTGAACTCGGTGATCCTTTGTTCAATAGGGAAAAGGTATTGAGAACACGTACTGGTTGGTGGGAAGGGAAGACTTCAAGAAACCCCTGCCTATTCCACCAGACCTCCAAGGGTAAGGGACGTCGTCGTCATTTTGGATGTGAAGTCCTTCAAAGAAATTTATTAGACCACTGGCACCTATTTGGCTCAGTTTCTGTTACCCTAATATCCTTCCAAGCTTAAAATAGATGAAAAAGTTATTCTGATGTCTACTTACAAAATACACATTAGTTGGTGGTCCGATGCATTTTTGCAATCTTGATATTGTGTCCGTCTGCGTTTCCTCTCCCAGGGGAAGTAATCACGGCATCGGGTTGGATGAGATTCCTCCTGACAGAAGACAAAAGTTTCTGGACCGACAGAAGAAGATGGGCTAGATTGGTGCTGGAACGCTTTGTTTGGTTTTCAACAACGCACACCCGTTGAGATTGTGAAAAGAGGTGTGCACCATTTTCAAATAGACTTGGCATAATCATTCAAAGATGTCCTGTTTGAGGTCTAAAACGCATGGCTGCTTGAGGAAGGGAGTGATGTCATAAAACAGCTTCACTGGTGTGTAACCTTCATTTAGAGTAACGCTGCACAAACTCATTGCATGTCTGGTCTCGGCGATAGAGGACGTTTCTTGCACTAGATGCTAAAAGTTTAGAGACTATTCAGCCATCAATATGTTACATCATTGCCATCGGGGATTTCCATACAAAAGGACAGAATAACATATGACATTAAATTCACCAAAAGTGATGATATAATGTTCAGCTCTGATCAGTGCATCATGACTAAGGGGTGGTGGCGAACAACTTCTCAACAGCTGATTAGTATTTTTTTTTTTTTTTTTTTTTTAAGTTAGGTCACAGCACATTCCAGAAAAATGGTAACTTGTACCAAGGGGCCAAAACACCAGCCGGAAAACAAGAATCACATTGAATCGCAATGTATGTTATACTGCAATCCGGAATACTTATTTTGATGATGTGTGTATTGATTTTTAACATATAATCGTCGACTCTTACAGAAGACAAACTCATAAAAGAAACTTCAGATAACAGCTTGAATTGCAGATCGTGGTTATTTGTCATTGTTGGCTCTTATGAACTGTTAACGTGCACACGTGGGTGCATATTGCTTGGTCCACAAAACAAAAAGGAGGAAAAGCAGCATTCCAGATGCGGATGGAATAAAGGATGAAGTATGTATAGAATAGCACCTTCTTTTGATAGACTTTGAATCCTCTTTGCCAAATACAGTAGATGCACCTGACACGCCCCAAATGAGGTGGATTATGCCGATCATTTTGAAGGGGGGACTTCTTTGTGTTTATGTAAATAAATAATGGCTTCAGTGAAAATGGTTGTTGACTTTGCTGGCTGAACCATGATGGGATAAAAACACACACTGAAACGGGGACCAGTGTACAAACAACATTCATCTTAAGAAATTTGGCCACAATGCAAAATTCTGTTTTGTTTAGGCATGTAATAATCCCATGTATGGTCTTTTGTTACATGGTATACCGTATAACATTGTTTGCATTTGTGCTATTTATACCGAGGCACAAATGCAAACTATTAAAAACCTCCATCCCAAAAAGTACATCGCGATTATTATATATTATAGCGCCATCAGGATCGTGTCTGTCATATTTAGGTGACATCTTTAATAGAAACGTCGAGTGCAAAAGAAAAAAAAAAAATATGTGCTCATTTCGCCACCGTGTCAGACGTACATCGTGTTCCAGGCGCACCCCCGGTGTCCTGAAGCAGCCCCAAATTTTGACTGGCACCGGCTTAAATGTGCCAGTCTGACAGAGATTTGTCAAGTCAACTAAAGCAAACCAGAAAACACTCGGAAACCTGGATTACTTTCAAAACAAGAGCATTCAACTACTGCCTGAACTGGTTAGTGTTACGTTAGGGTTAAAAGTTTTGAACTTGAAGAAAGAAAAAAAAAAACTAAACTAAAATTGGAACGGAAAATTCACGTGTTGATCTTGACTTTTGAGAAAAACAGCAGCACATTCAATTTTGCTGCACCTTCGGTTGGAGTGTGTCATACTTGAGGGCAACTCAACAGGAGCCAGGAAGTGGACTAGCATCTCTCTAACTAGTCGCCATTTATATTTCTTTTTTCTTATCCCAGTGCGACTTGAACCATGACCCGCTGGTTCTGAAATTTACAGATGATCCACTGCAACACATCAATGTACAGGAAGATTAATTTTACCCCAGGTTTTGTCATATGATGTCTCCTTGTCTTAATCAAATAAGCAAGTCCCACTTTTGCTACCATGATAACCAGGGGCGGAGAGTCATGGTGTCAAAATATGGAGCGAATGATGAAGTGGAATATTTAAATACCAATTAACCAGGACATGTATTGGTTGATCCTTGGATCAAACTCTGAATTTAACTGTTCAGCATCTTGTTAAAGCAGAGCAAGTTGTACAAAAAAAGGGGCGAAAAAAGCATAACAGATGGACAAGTTCATTCAAAAGGTTTTCAAAGGTCAAATTACAGTAAATTGATATGTAAAAGTAGATGTAAAAGTGCATTTTAATTTGACCCGAAAAGTTCCTCCAAATTAAATTTGGTTAACCTGTAGTGAAATTCATGATTTACTTTCAAAATATTTTTTTAGTTTACAAAACTGTAGCAACAAAACAGACGTTCTACAAAATATACGACGACGCAATCAGAACTCAACGAAGTCGTCAATTCTACTTTTATTTTGGAAAACCAAGACAGGATGTCGTATCTGAATCCGCCGAACTTGAGCTATGTGTCTGCAGACTGTGGGCAACCTCAGTCAGACAGGTAGAGGAGAGGAGACGTCGTCGCCGCCGCTCGCCTGAGGTGCACCGAACGCATTTTGGACTTGGACCGGGCAGGACCGGGCCGGACTGCGGAGGCCGCTGTTCGGCTCCTCCTTGCGGCCGCTGAACGGTGCTTGGAAGCACGCTCCGGCTCGGTTCTCCATCCTAATCACCGCGCACATGCTTGAACACTTCGGCGAGGACTCGGGCAGGAGAAGGAGGAGGCATGTAGTTGCAATGGATTAATTGACAAGGACCACGTGGACTTGTTCCTTTTTTGACATCGCGAGTGCTTTCTAAGTCAAGCGTGGGCCATGGAGAACCAAGGCGCCGAGTTGCAGAATTTCGAAGACGTGCAGAGAAGCGGCTACCTCCGCAAGCACAAATCAATGCACCGGCGCTTCTTCGTGCTGAGGACGGCCTCGGAGCGTGGTCCCGCTCGCTTGGAGTATTACGAGAACGAGAAGAAATTCCGCAGCAAATCTCCCGTGCCCAAGAAAGTGCTGAACCTGGAGACGTGCTTCAACATCAACAAGCGGGCGGATTCCAAGAACAAGCACCTGATCGTGCTCTACACGCGCAGCGAGAGCTTTGCCATCGCCGCGGAAAGCGAGGAGGTCCAAAACGAGTGGTACCAAGCCATGCTGGACCTCCAGTGCAATTGTAAGATGGCAAAAGTCGAATCATTGATGTTGCTTCTCCGTCTGTGTCTCCCCGCATCGGCCCCCATCCTGCCCTAGGCTGTTTTTGCTCCCCATCTGCCCGCATGGGCCATTGGATGAGCTCCATTTCGTTTTATGACCCACGTTATTCATATTGAGCTCCTAATCCGTGGACGAATTCAACGCGTCTAATTATTGAGATTTAAAGAAAAAACAATCGCAATCAACCGGATCCATGTGTGCTGGTGCGTTTTAAGGGCGGGATGTGCTGTTTGTGCAATTTGGGGATTCACATCTAAACAGGCAGCTGATTCCGTCGCAGCCAAATCTAACATGTGCTAATATTCCAAGTAAGGTGCAGCCTCATTTTTTTGCGTGGCGCAGAGGGCATATAGCAACCATCCACGGGATGCATCATATAGCGCTAGCCTATCGCGGAGCACTCCCGCTCCAGCCCGTGTTGTTGTTTTTCTGCACAGCCCCCGAGAGCCCGCCCGCCTCTAATAACCTACATTTTTGCACGAGGCGGCATCACCGTGCATCCATGCTCTCCGCGTGGCTAGATGTTAGAAAGAAGAAAAAAAAAAGGAGGGAGGGGAAAAAAAAAAAACATTTTTACGTGCGGGTCTCCTCCTCATGTTGTTTACGTTCATGTGCCGATGCTGGGAGCAGAACTGCAATCCCAGTACCACAACCCCTCCTTTTCCCCTCTCTGTGCACCCACTGACGGGCTTTCCCAGCTGTGTATGCACCATGCATGAATATTGTGAGATGACTGATGGATGCTCAGAGTCCCATTTTGTTCAAAAACGATGTCTCGGAGCTTTATGATAACGCCTTTGTTGAACGAATCTGTTTGATCTGCTTGACTTGATGGGATTCTGCATGCTGCTTGGAACTAACCAATACTGTGGCTTGTAGTGGTTTCTTCACACATATTTAATAGATTTCATATTGCAGTTATACAAAGAAATGGAACAGTGACTCTTGTGTGGCAGAAAAATAACGGGGCTCTATACACAGACAATATAATTGAACTAATTTCAGTTTTCATTTCACAATATGTTGAGCAACATGATTGTAGTGGTGTATAACTGCACCGCTTCAGGTTTCTAATCATTTGGCCATTTCATGTTTCCTGTACCCAATACGATTTGTGAAATAGGGAACACAACGGACAAGTGCAGGTCAGCCTCACATTTGAGAGGGAATGGGTCAATTTGTGACGTTTGCATGTTCTCCGCACGCGTGTATCTTTTTTCCCAAGGTACAATGAACCCCCGCATATTTGCGTTTAGATCCGTGTGGCCTGGTCTCATGCCACGGATCGTTGGATGGGGACCACTGCTGTCGAGCATGAAGTGAAAGACTTTGTAGCATCAAGACCTCATTTATTTGACAATATCCTGCCACTATTTTTAGTGTTATCTATATTTATTTCCATTCATCTTTTGGGAAAGGGCTCCTTCGTGTTCATTCATGTCCTCTCTTTTCATTTACAGGTAAATCTCCTGAAGATTATGGAAGTAGCGGAGAGTGTAGCTCTCCGTCTCCAATTCCAACTTTCAAGGAAGTGTGGCAGGTTAAAGTGTGGCCAAAAGGTCTTGGACATGCCAGGAACTTAGTAGGCATCTACCGCCTGTGCCTAACTGACAAGACAGTCAACTTTGTCAAGCTCAATTCTGACGTAGCCGCTGTCGTGCTGCAGCTGATGAATGTTCGCAGATGTGGCCATTCAGAGAACTTTTTCTTCATTGAGGTGGGTCGTTCAGCCATAACTGGACCTGGAGAGTTTTGGATGCAAGTGGATGATTCTGTGGTGGCTCAGAACATGCACGAGACCTTGCTGGAAGCCATGAAAGCGCTAAGCGAGGAGTTCCGTCAACGCAGCAAATCTCAGTCCGTGGGGACGTCGTGTGGCGGCGGAACCGCTTCAAACCCCATCAGTGTACCGAGTCGCCGACATCATCCGAATCTGCCACCCAGTCAAGTGGGCTTTACCAGGAGAGCCCGCACGGAGACCCCGGGCGGTAGCAGTACCAGCACCTCGCCCACATCACGCCACGGATTTCCGCGGGCTCGAACGGCAAGCATTGGGGCCAGGTCAGAGGAGAGCGGAGCAAGTACCAGGTCAACATGGGCCAGCTCCAGCCCGAGTCTTAATGGATCCTGCTCAACGACACCAACGCTCAGGCCCAAGCCCACCAGGGCCCCCACCCCAGCAAAGATTACCCTCAGCCTCGCACGTTACACGCCTAACCCTGCTCCCTCTCCCGCCCCGAGTCTCTCCTCCAGCTCCGGCCACGGCTCCGAATGTGGTCTAGTGGGCGCGGCAGTGGGAGGCATGACGGTGTGCTCCTACCCCCGAGTGTCTCAGAGAGTTTCTGTTTCGGGTTCACCGAGCGACTATGGCTCCTCTGACGAATACGGTTCCAGTCCCGGTGAGCACTCACTGCTCATGCCCAGTATGGCTGCCCATCACGGGCACGGAGAAGGGCCCTCAAGCTACATAGTCATGGGTCAACGAGAGGGCCTCCTCGGTTCCCGTCATCGCACCAAAGGCAGGCGCATTCTGCGGCGCTCATCCAGTCGGGATTCCGAGGCAGAACGAAGATTACTAAGTAAGAGAGCTTCCCTGCCTTTGGCCACCCACGAACGACTGGCTCAACATCGAAAAGATGACGAGGAGGACGTGGAAGAATATGCCGTAATGTCACAGGGCGCTAAGAGAGAAGGCTCTGGCAGCTTGGCGGCGGGGTGTGGGCGAGGTGATGTGGCGGGGGAGAACAGAAAACGATTTGACAAAAAGAGAGAAGCAGATGCAAGAGCGCCGTTGGATAGCGGCTACATGTCAATGCTGCCCGGAGTCACATCTCCGGCTGCAGACGACGAGTACATGGCCATGACCCCAAACAACAGCGTGTCCCCGCCTCAGCACATGCGGCAGCCCAGCTCGGAGGGTTACATGGTCATGTCCCCAAATAGTAGCGTCTCGACAGAGTTGCACGGACTGGGAATGTGGGATAGCAGGGGGAGCATGGAGAGCCGGGTTGCCAGTGACTACATGAACCTCTCCCCTGTCAGCAGCCACTCTGCCTGTAGCACACCACCTTCCCACCCTGAACAGCACCAACTGCAACCAAAAATGTTTAATTCCTACTTCTCTCTGCCACGAGCTTATCAGCATACCCTCTACAGTCGCTTTGAGGAGGATCTAAACAAAGAGGAGTGCAAAAAGGACGGTAACGATAGCACTGGAATCAGTGGAGGAGTCGGGTACAATAAGAGAAACAAAATGGGAGTGGGCCCTACCGGAGGCTTCCAACTCTCCATGTCTTCGTCTTCTTTCTCCTCAAGCTCAGCCAGCAGCGAAAGCCTGGAGGACAAGTCCATATCAGCCGGAAAAGGGTTAAGTTTGTACAAGAGTGCAGGAACATGCACCAAGGATAGTCGTCACCTACAAAAACGCGGATCGAGCTGCAAGAGTCCAAAGCAACAAAGGAGGGGCCGCCCCCTCAGCATGTCTTCAGACATTACGAAAGCAAACACATTGCCTCGGGTGAAAGAGAATCTGCCCCCGATGGCGGCTCACAACGTCGGTGAGTATGTCAGTATTGTTTTTAAGGAAGACAATAAGTATCATGGCGGAAGATGTGCAGGGTCAGATCGAGCGCAACCCGTCATTCATGGCACCCTCCGGCCCTCAAACCAGCCCCTCCCAGCTCCCGATAATGCTGCTAACCTTCCTCGCAGCTTCTCAGCACCGTTGTCCACCTCTGCTGAGTATGTCAGCATGGATGTCGGGAAGTCACCAACACCGCTAAGGTCGACATTCAGCCCCCCGCAGGGCCCACCAGCTGTCGCCCCCAAGGGCCGACTTGAACGCGGCACATCATCTCCTCTGGGAGCAGAAGGAAACTCTCTACATCGATCCAAAGGAAAGACGGCAGGAGACGCCCACAGTTCGTTCATTGACAACATTTCGGATCCCGGCCTTTCAGCGAGACCTGTCGCCCACTCGGGTCCGCCTGTATCCATAGCGGGGGAATCAGGTTTGGGGTTTTCTCCTGTCAAGACCTTCCAGTCTCCTGAGCATGGCAACAGGCTAGTCCGAGCCGATGCTCAGGCTCGGCGGGGCCACCACTCGGAAACCTTCAACTCACCTCCATCCGCGCCCCGACACCCACCCTCCACGACCAACATCTTCCCAGAAGGCGGTCAGCCGGCGGACCACCGGCACACTTTGGACTGCTCACAGTGGAAAAGCGGTCAGGCAGCTGGTTTGTCTGACACGCCGCCTCCACAAGCCCCTGCTGAACAAGGCCTTAACTATATTGACCTTGACTTGGCCATTAAGGAGAGCTCTCAAGCGGGAGCTGAGCGTTCCTCTGCCGCCTACAACATTGGCGCAGGCGCTCTGGGCAGTGGTGCGGGCTCCAGCCTCAATACGTACGCCAGTATTGACTTCTATAAGTCAGAAGAACTGAGAGCACACCAAATTGGCAGACAGGATGATCAAGGTAAGGGCTCAGTGGGCCAGGGGTTAATTGGGAGTTGAATAGTATTTATTTTGTAGTTTGAGGAACAATTTTAATCCCAGGTACAGTAAACCACCACCATTCACGGGCGATAGGGAACGAGCCCTGCTGCAAATAACGAAAGCCGGCGAGTAATAGACGTCGCCACCATATTGCCTGTAGATGCCATGAAAGCTAAATGAGAGCCCTCAACTCATTTCAACACAGTTCCTTGGCACCAAGATGATGTGTTTTAACATGCAGCACTCGTCTTCCCGAGAGCAATTTGATGGGGTTTTTTTTTGTACGTTGCAAGAAAGACTGTTTTCCAATTTGATTGGCACTCAAGGGAGCACAGACTTTACCAAGAATACATACGGCCGTCCATGAAGTTGGAATGACTTGATTCATTTGAACACCTGAGTAATAACTTTTGACCAGATGACAGAAGGGAGCCATTTTCTCCAATGAATGACCAATCTCAACAATCGCAAACTATTCGCTTCTAAACCACGCAGCTTGATGCGAGCTGCAGACAAAACATGCGCGTGGCTCTCAGTCAGCTGCATACCTCTGAGCGCCTCAGCACTCAGCTGTGGGTTGTCTGCAAGGTCTCTTATTATGACAAGTGGGTGTCGAGTGAGAGTGCGGCCAATTGATGTGTCTGCTGCTGGTAATGAGCCTTTCACATAAACGGTGATAGACGGAGGGGAACACGGGCCAGGTATTTGTGTTTCTGTGTGGGCGAGCTGTCGAACGCACCCGGGCCACACGGCAACCTCGAGGTTTCCCATCATGCCACGCACAGCTCAAAGTCAGGCAATGGTTAATGGTTTTGATAGATCGTCTAGTGCTTTGGAGATGAGTGGCTCCCTCATGTCAAGAAAAAAAGAATTTACACTAACATGACATCATCATCAGGTAAGCCTGTACAATATGATGAGATACTATGTAGGTATGTATCATATTTTTCAATACTATTGCTCATTTGAGCAACATTTGAAGCGGCCAAGGAGTGTTAATTACTTTATAGAAAACCCAACAACATCAAATATTCATCCGGAACACACATGTGCATCTTATTTATTCAGATGATTTCCATTTGCATAATTGATTCATGTAATGCATATGTGTGATCATAATACTGTAATCGCCCACTTATTGTGACTGGGGGATGGCGTGTTTATGAATTTAACATGAATCGTGCGAGGAAAGCTTCTTGTAATATTCGGTCATTCGCTCCTATACATTTTGACCCTTGTGATTGGACGCGCTTGCTTCGACGATATGCTACGTGTTGTGTATGCGTGCCATAAGCCTGTCTGTACGGGATATGGCACGCACAATGATCAGCGCTATCATCGTTCACACAATGCTAATTCTGCTCAACAATGACATTGGAATGACTTCCAAGGGAAACGTTAAATGAAGATTAGAATTGAATTCAGATGTTTGTTCACCCACCATGTGTTACTTTTACTCTTAGTCCAAAGAAAGTACATTTCAGTGGAATGGGCATAGCTAGCTTGCTAACTGAACACCGTAGTGGCAGAGATAACATGGTGGGAGAGGGGCGACTTATGCCGGATGCACAAGTGCGTCACTGGGTGCTATTTCAGAGAAAAACAGTTTAACACTATAATCGTCATAATTCATACAGATTAAATCCACTTCATTAGCATTTGAGAAAGAGAAAATAAAAAAACAACGAAAACATATCTTCTGTGAAACTTGTTTTCGTTCCACACCCTCATTTTCCTCTTAGGAGAGGAAAAGAACGAGTGGTCAGCCCAAGTCAAGTTGATGTATCGGCACTTTTATCCGTAAGTGTCCCCCGAGGTACAAACTAGTTGCTTTATGAGGCTATTCTTTAATAAAGAGAGGCTCGTTTCGTCTCAGTGGATCACTTTGGGCCACATTCATGGCCACTGCAAGCTGATTATTGCCACACTCATTCGTTTCCTTGATAGTATGAAGCTGATGCAATTGCATAATATTAACACATGCGTCACTGTGCCGGGGCCCTTATCATTAAAATCATTATAAAATGATCATCACGCATCATGTGATGTTTACACAGGCAGCCACCAGATCAAATATTTTAACGAACTCTTTAAACAGCGTGATTAAGAATCGATAAAGTGAAAAGCAATATGATTAGTTGTTTGCAAAAAAAAAAAATGGCCCGCTTTAAATTCCTGCCCGTTTTTGATTGTTTTCCTCCAGATTGTTGATTTGTGCTCAAGTCTATGATGAGAGCTGCGCCATGCCCAACTGTTGCCGCAACACAACTGTACGCCGAGTCCAAAACACCGGAACGCTGGGAAACCATTCCTCATCCGTCTGCTGTGTTCTGACAACCTAACATGTGCCAAACACACACACACACACACACACACACACACACACACACACACACACACACGCACACACACACACACACACACACACACACACACACACACACACACACACAAACACACGCACACACTCACACGGGGTAAGGAAATTATCTGTTTGTATGGCTTGCTCTGATCAGCTAACGTGAACTTGATCAAGGATTAAGTGTGATGACGTGGGTTCACGCGAAGGCTTTATGTCCATTTGACACGATTAAAGCACTATGACAGTCGGGCAAAGCCATAAAGTCGGTAAAAATGTCACACGTTCGGTTCGATTGCCTCCAAGATTGACATCATTGTGACTGGTCGCTAAGCAAATGTAATGAAATGTGATCATTCAAGGCTGAGGCGTGACATCCATTTAGTTTATGGAGTCTGAGTTCGGCTTAAAGTCACAAAAGGCTTTGTTTGTGTCCAATGTGCAGCACCGTTTTCTGAAAACGTGTCAAGGAAATATGGTTTTCACACAAGAACACACTTTGTCATGTTTGTCAAGTTTAATACATGTAGGAAACATTAAAGCCAGAATGCTTCTTGGGGACCTTTATTGAGCTAGAACCCTCGGCGCCTTTTGTCCTCACTGATTAGACAATTCAGAGCACTAATAGAACAAAGGTCTGATGAGTGACCCCCCCACCCCCATTAGTGTACACTGGTGCCTCTACTTACAAATGTCCCTTCATATAAAATTTTCAAGTTCCGAAACGCCTCGACAGGAAAATATTGCCTCTTGTTCCGAAAGAAATTTCAAGATACGAAAGGTAAAAATACAGTCTAAAAATACTCGCAGCTCCGAGTTTCTTGAACGCAACATACGTATAGCTGCTCTGCCATTGGCTATTACCGACCATCTTCCTGGCATCCCATTGGCTAAGAGGGACCTCTACCATATGTGTCTATTTGTGTAGATAGATCTGTGTCTATGCAGCATCCTCATCATTCGCACCTCGGGCATTGAGGTGTTCCGATAGTTTTATGTAAATGTGAATCACCCAGAAAAAGTGTTCATTAGTTGGGCGATTGCTCACTATGTCGATGTTTGCCTTGGACATTTTCGAAGGATTGTTAAAAGACCACAAAAGCAAACGTCCATGGATCAGTTCTTTATAAAACGCCAGGCAAAAACCACTTCTGAGAGAGAACATGAACTAAAGAGGGCAAAAAAACGATGAGGACGCAGTTAAAAGTTAAATGACCATCATTTTTATTCTTTATTCTTTGTTTTTTTACATTATGGACATCTCTCATTTATTGTGCAATAATCAAATTGTAACACTTATTTGTTACATATTTTGATGCATTTTGATGCTTTAGAAAACATTTATGTCTGAATTTTAGTGGGGCTTGGAACGAATTAGGGCATTTACATGGAAAACGCGTCTCCACTTACAAAATGTTCTCGTTCAGAAATTTCTTCTGGAACCAATTAATTTTCGTAAGTAGAGGTACCACCGTATTACATTTCTGCATAGAACATCTGCACTAACTGACGACAGCATGCTCCTAATGACATTATGAAACTTGTTTTACTAGTGCGAAGAAATGTCATTCAGTACACCTCACTGTAGCCACTCATTCGACTAGTGTACCCTGCACACTCTACTAGTGAGGACAAAGAGCATACAGGTACGCAGAGCACATACTAGTAAACAAACCATTCGGTGCACTAGTAGGATATGGAATAAATAAACGCTCCTACAACTTTGCTTTTGTGTGTACCTGGCGACAGGCATTATTAGACCACATTCGAGGTTTGTGGTTGTTTTTTGGCTCGTATTGTCTTAGGAACTGGTACTCGATATTGTCAGGACAGCAAAAATTTCGTAGTATTTCAGTGGTAAGTACCCACGACTGGCGCTGTCGCACACAATTCCACCTGATTCTTATACAACCTCTGATGTGATTCAATTAACCATCTCCTGTCAAGTCTTCACCACAAGATGCATTATTGCCAGTCGCCAAAGCTTTTAATGCTGCGTGCATCCTGGTACAAACAGTGCATAACAATTGGCAAATTTGCATAACATTCTTCTGCAGCCGCATTGTCGGTCAGCGTGTCTTCAGTATAACGGAAAGAACCTCACACAAACGGGACTCTACGGTGGTGCAAAAGTTGCCTTCGGTCAAAAAAAAAAAAAATACAAATAAGAATAATACTGTACAGTTAAATACAATACAAGACTTTTTTTAGGTTCCTTTTTGAGTATTTTTATGTTTTGGTCGAACCCACATGTAGCACAATTCCCACTGGAAGTGTGTCGATTATTTTTGGGCAATTGCGTTTTTTTTTTTAAATATATGTGTATATTGTACGACGGTTCATGCCAGTATACAAGCAAACAGCATTTAAAACACCGCAGCTTGTTTTTCTTCATTCGCCAAACAGTTTACACAACTATAATGTGACAACACATGTTATTTAAAGATATACACGATACATACAGTATTTTGATGAATACTATTTAGCCTATAGATATCTATATACTCTTTTATAAAGTGCCTCTTTTTTGATTGTAGCTGTTTTACACAGGTAATCTTAAAATGGGTTGTGAAAATACAAGAAAAAAAAAGAGTCAACAAACACAATGATATCAGTAACTATTTGTTTGTTATTTTAATGGCCTTACTCTTGATCTGAAACGTGCAAAGATCATTTCATTTTTGTTTGGGTGCCTAACAGTTTAAGCCACAATGTAAGCATCCCCTTGCTCTTGTTTGACTTTGTTAAGTTGAGGTTTGGCTCGACAAAGTGAAGCAAAAAATAAAGAAATTAAAAAAAAAAAAAATAATAATAATCCAGAACCTGGGCTGCTATTTCATCCAAAAATAAGTTACTGGACAACATGAGGATTCTAAATTGTATACATTTTAATCGTGAAACCTATTTTAATGACTTTCTGCATTGTTTTTACCTGACAGCTGTTCTTCTCTTGTACATAAAATACTAACAAGGCAGGCTCATATTAGGCTGCAAATGAAATGTATGTATTGATTTAGGCTCGTGGTGTATTTTGAACCTCAAAGCAAATATTGAGTGGAGGTCATTTGAACTCTTCAGAGCAGCTAAGTGTTTACCTGGGCTAAAACACGACAAACACGCTTGTATGTGTTATTTTTCTATATTTGGATGTGGATTCAGTCCCCAAATGTGTCACTCTAGTGCTCCTTTCTGTCTCAACTCAAACCCAAGACCGAGTCCGGCTCGCTCATAACCCGCTATTTGTATTATTTCTATTCTGCACTGCTGCTTGTTGGATTGCCAAATTGCCAAACAATCAGAAATGCAGTCTGACAACAAAAGGATTTCTAAACAATTTTAAATCTGATTTCAAATGAAGAATTCTTTCATTGAAGTGCTAAGGGGCCAAAAAAAAAAAAAAAAGTTTTTAATTTTTCAATGAAACATTTCTAAAGAGTGTTTTTTTTTTAAATAATAAAGTTCCGCGTGAGTTTCTGACTGGTTGCATACCATTCCCAGAGCCACTCAAGTCTGGTTTGGTCCAGTTGCAGCTTAAGGGAAACATTCAACACAATGTACAATAAATCGGAATATATTGCATCTGTATGGTTGAAAACAAACGTGAGTACACAATGATGGCGAAGGCTTCAGAAATAATGATGACCAAACTCAGCATGTTTCTGGTTGTGTGTATACAGGGTACAAAGGAAGAAGGCTTTCTCCGTGTATTTTTCACACTGGTAGCTTTTCCCACATTTAGAATCATAATTGGGAAAAAAAAAAAAATATATATATATATATATACACCCTCAAGCTCATTATTTAAACCATTGCCAAATGTGAATTTTTATTTGTTGAGTGAGTATACGCTGACTGGAAATTACATACCCAGAAAAAAAGTGCCAAATGATGTTAAGAAGTTGTGTTATCGAGATTTATTTTTCTAAATATTCACCATTGTTGTCTCTTTACATGACAGTTTGACACTTCTGTCACTTCCAACAAAAAGAGACATAAAAAGTCTACACATTCAAATGCTGTTTTTGTTATCTATATACATATATACAACCAAGATACTCTACAGCAAAACCTTTTCCCACCAGTAATGTGACCTATAATTTGTAAACTCGATTGGGAAAAGGAAAATCTTTTCAAGAGGGGACCTGCCAACATTTGAAGTGCATGGGATTCGTTAATTCCAAACACAGCCACAGCCTCCGTTGAAGAGGGTGTGCACACTTATACAACCACATTTGAGTTGTTTATTTTTACTTCCCGTCCTCTTGAAAAGATTAAAACTTTTTTTTCAATTGAGTTGTAGTGGTGGAAAATCTTTTGAAATGATTATCTCAACCTTGTTTTTTTTTTGTTAGTTTTTTTTTTTTTTTTACCAAACCTGGCATTTGAACTGAGTGTGCAGACTTTTTATATCCACTTTGATTCACATTATGAATTTATGTCTATTGTCGTTTTCATTCAAACAATCCCATTAAATTATTGAGCAGGTGCTTTTGACTCACCTGCCGTCAAAATGAGAATAGCCCACCACTGCCGATAAATTTGTGCTTCAAAATGGCAACTTTACTGCCTGACACTTAAGAGCATAATTGAACTAACTAGTTAACTTGGTTGAAATGGTCCTTTATAATCCATTTGTTATTCCTTCAGTGCGACTCTCCTAATTAGGGATTACGGAGCCACTCTTGTACCTCGTAATCTCGAGCCCATGGAGACAAAACAGTTGGTAGGTTAAACCCCTCACAGTCTAAGAGCACTGCAGGGCATCGACAGATACGCGGAAATGATCAACAAAATCTCTTCACTGTAAGACTGCTTCTGAGTGAAGGGCGAGAATCTAAGTGTGGGAAATGATACCGTATGTACAATCAAGATAGCATCTGTAATTACAATTGAAAGAGCATTCTATGTATTTTAAAGTTATTGATTCTACTTTGATATTGATGTACAAAGACTGAACGGTGTAAAAAAAAAAAAAATTATGTGTATAGAGGAATTCGCTGGTGGGAGGTGGTGGGGGACAGTTGGAGTGTGTGGGCTTCATTCAATTCATAACAAATTGTTTCCAAACAGAATATTGATGATACTTGTCTGTGATGTAGACAACTTCAATGTTTTTTTTTTCTAAATATAAAAAGGCAAAGTGGGGAAAAAAACATTTGTGACTCTTTTATTGACCATGTGTTCAAAGTTAATGTTGCAACATTTACATTTCGCGAGTGCAGACGCAATGCTGGCCGGACTTTTTAAGGTATTAGCCAGACTATGTTTTGTAATCCCAGACTCCTCTGGCCTAACAGATGGTATTTTGGCACGATCATAGTATGACAAATATGCCTTTTACTCTACGTAGCATGTGCGACACATAGGGCTGGGCCAGTTTACTGGAAAACAAAATGCACAATTTGAAATGATACACATAAATACAACACATACTTTTGCCACTGCTAATGCTCACTGTGGATGGGATATCCTATTGAAAGGGCTAACAGAAAATTAGCATGGTGTTCCGGCAGTGATATTCCTTCAAATAATGAATATTTACACACAAACAGACAGGTAAAATAACAATAGTGACAGGTATATATTCTTCCTAATATGTGAAAAATAAGTTACATTCGTAAAGTTCAATTGCAACTTTCTCCTTGTGCTCTTTCTATATGTAAATGTACTGTATGCACTTAAAGCCACTAACACGTCAAACTTTTTATTGCTATTAAAAAAGGTTTGGCATCAATTATTAATTGTGTTTATTAATCGTGATTTCAATATTAATCATCATGATTTTTTTTTGTTCATGATGGCCCGAGTTTTACATTAAATAATTGCTAAATCATGACCGTGGCTACTTTGTTAAATGAATAATGAATGTAAAACTTTGTATTTTTATCACACGTACAGCCATACTCTGATTTCAGATGGTTTGTTAAAAAGTCGTAAAAGTTACAAGCAGCACACCTTCCAACTTTCAAGGAGGTGAAACCACAAAGAGATCAATACAACTGCTGTGTACACACTATTATCAAATCCATCTGCCACATCAATATTTTTGATGACATGACACCTGCACATTGACCCCACGCAGGAACAGTGCTTGGTTTGTTTGTATTGTAGCCCTTGTTGTACTCTTGATCATTGCAGCCGAATGCTGTGTTTGCACATTTTATGGGAAATGTGTAGAGTTGAACTTTGCTCTGTAATAGACTGTGGTGTGCTGTCAATTCTCAGACAATGCTACAGCACAACACTGGACAGATTGAACAAATTGCGCTGCATTTAACAGCTTTCCTTTCAGCAGTTTTCCTGGTTCTTAACACTAACCTTTGTCGTTACAAACACAAACATATTTGTAAGACGTTTTGTATTGCGTTATCATTAGTGGGAAGTAACAATACTTTGTTGGTGTACTTCAGTAGATTTTTAAGACATACAGTATGTTCTTTACTTGATTATTTCCCCCCCGATGGCCTCTTAATTTTACTCGCTACATTTGGCAACAGATGTCTGTACTTTGTTCTCCTTGCCTGGTCAAAATAGGCTTGTAAGTTTTTTTTCTACCTCAGCAGATAACGACACAAGATAAATAGTGAGAGGGTTCCCATGGGGACAGAAAAGGCACTTTCAACTTGTGTATTTAACTACATTTCAGACACTATAATTTTTAATTAGGTACAGGACTCGATTGTTACCTCTACAGTTACCGCAGTGTTTTTACGCAAGTACAGTATCTGTACTTATCAGGTCTGATAATCACAGTCGTGATCACCAACTGTTACTGTCCAACGTTTCGCAAAACAAACAGCAGAGGGCGCTCTAGTAATGTGTACCACCCACCGAGACTTTACACCGGAAGTTGTAACATGCATGAATTTACCAGATGAGGATCACTCACACTATTTTTCTTAATGTAATTTGTAACCAAAATTAATTATATATCCAGCAGAATTTTTGTTGAATCGAACACGGTGTCAAGAAATCAGAAAGAGTCGTCCCACAAAAAAATTATTATCATCCAGAACGACTCAAGAGTGGACGTGGAAAGACTTTGGTACCTGCAGATGGAGCAGAGAGAGACCTCCTGAAAACTTGTCGACAAAGATGTGCTGTGACATCGTCTATTATTATTCTGATCAGCAGCGCCGTTCTCATCGCCCATTCATTCATTCATCCATTGACGCCACACTGTTGGGGGAAGATGTCACAAAAGACATAACATTTGAGATAATCATGCGTGCTCTGCTAGTGTACTATAGCATGCTCTACGTTAGCACCAGTTAGCAAGTCGCCGCAGTTCACCATTGAGGTCAGTCGGAGTAAAATCACTCTCTCTCCCCAAAGGCAAGTAATACTGACTAGACACATTTTATTGATTCGCATATCGCTAGTTATAGTGATTTCGTTACAGTCTAATGGCAGAAAACGTCTACTGTACTCCTATTTGGATAGTTTTGAATCTCCTAAAGGCCTGCTAAAGAAATGTTTATTTTAAAAAAGTCATTGTTCCGACATTTAAAACCAATAAAATGCAAAGTACGACATGTAATGATCTTTCCTGTTTAAATGAGTTAAAACATGCACAGCGTAGAGCCATCATCCCCATCTGCAGGTAACCTTCACAAGCAGTACAGTAGTAACCTTAACATGGCAACAATAGATCAGGTATTTCTAACCTTGCAATAAAGGTTGTTTAGCAAGGCTCGAAATAACTTTTTTCCCCTTTGAGGATCAGTTTTGCTTATCAATGACATTCATTTCAGGGCCAACGTTCTCATTTTGAGGAGCTTTTTTTTGCCGGTTTATCCCAGGGACCCGAAGCAAAACTTTTAATAAGCAATAAAAATGGAGTTTCATGTTGGGCTGGAACTATTACTGTATGTCCAATTGTAGGCAGTATTTGATACCAAAATAAATTGCTATCAGTAGCCTGCGACTTATTTTAAAAGGTGTGTATCGTAATTAGCCCGTCAATTTGTCAAATGCATTTGGGCACATGAAATAAAAACGTGTTGGTTCCAAACTGTATTTGCAGCCAACGTAATACATGAGCAACAAATCAACACTATACAATATACATATAAACGATTAATAATTCGGCCACGCAGACGATACACCTGTGACACACGTCAATGACGATATAATCTTTGGCGGACGTCACGAAATGTCGTAACGGACGAAGGATCGTCTCATTTCCCCAAAATATTTAACCTCTTCTTCTGCCAATCTCCTCGTCTCCTCGATGGGGTTTGGGGGGTGGGATGCTAGCATGTAAACAGAGGCGCGAGGATCATGCAAATTGTAAATAGAGAATTCAGATGAGCCCCAATACTTCCGGCGTGTAGGTGACGTAAACGCCTTGTGCCGGATTAATGCCCATGTGCAATTTAGTTTTTGTTTGAATGAAGCGCAAAATAAAACGATGTGGCTCAATTTATTTCGATCCTTGCTTAGCGTAGTACTTAGTATTTGCATCATGCAGCACTTGATAGATGGCAAATACATATATCTACAAAATGGACATTTCGGATATATTTGTTTTATATAGTTGAGTAATCTTTTTTATACAGTATTTCCCAAACCTTTACAGTAAATGAGTGATATGAGGTGCGTTAAAAAGGTTCCAAGACTCGTGACGCATAGGATACATTTAAAAGCCAGGTTTTACCTTTGGAAGTAATCGCCCTGAAGTCGGACTTTTCCCAGCCTGGTCCGCCAGGTCTTCTTCGTGCACTCCTGGAAGAAGTCTTCCGGGTCTTCTGCAGCTGCTTTGTCATTGCCATATTCTTGTTGTCCAAACCTTGAAAACAATTCCTCTTGATGACATTCTTGAGCTTAGGAAGGTCTGAAGGGAAAAATATATATATAGTTTGGGTTTGAAATTTATATTTTGTGGAACCAGTTATGGAACGTTTAAGCATCTCGTACAACATAAATTATATTAATAAAACAATGAATAAAAAAAGGCATTTGGCAATTATCTGACTGTTTGACAATCATTAAAACATATTGCAAATACAACAAATGCTTGGGACTGAATGACTGTGTTGGTGGGGCTGTTGAGGGAAGAGATGAAAAAAATACTGTTTCAATAAATACAAATCTACGAGTGTATGTTAAATTAGAAGTCACGTTCCTATCTAGTTTATATTTTCAGTAAATTATTTCGATGAATTATTGTAATTTTTTTCAGTTGGAGAATTATCAGTTTTTGTCAGCAGTCAGTACGTTATAATCATCAAAATATAAAATAAGATGAAATATTTCACAGTGTGTAGTGAATCGACATGACATTTAAATTTTAAAATATTATATACCTCTTTTTGAATTGAACGACTGAAATAATTTGTTTTGCACATTTTTGTGAGATGCTTCCACACTATCTTTAATGTGGTTGCCAGGTGCCTGACGGAAAGAGACCACTCTTCTGACAATTTTGGACAGAATGGCACCTCACGCTGTGGTCCAGGCCGTCATCGATCTCTCTGCTGGAGCTATAGGTAAACTGACTCGCCCCCTAAACAGCATGTGTTCCTGGTGCTTCGAGTGCAGACTGTTTTTTTTTTTTTGAAAGAACTTACAGGTGAATGTGAGCAAATATTGACACCTTTTTAGTATGTGCGCAAATGACCTCAGACATCTGTTTGCCCCCTTTTTTTTCTGGCTCATTTGCCTCTATTGTGCATTCGGCTCACTTATTGAGTCTTAAAAGTATACAAGGGACAAAGGTACAAAACTCAAGAATGAATTATTCAACTACGTAATGAGATACTCGCCTCATCTCCTGTATTTTTATCGTTTGGCTTATCAAGACATTTCGGAAAATTCTATATTGTCTCTGCAAACAGTTTGAGAGCCCTCACAACGCATCATCGAATGCTCGCCTCGCATACCAAGCGGTCATTCATCTGCCTGGGGGCAAAACGGCTCGTTATGACATTTAAATTTTAAAATATTATATACCTCTTTTTGAATTGAACGACTGAAATAATTTGTTTTGCACATTTTTGTGAGATGCTTCCACACTATCTTTAATGTGGTTGCCAGGTGCCTGACGGAAAGAGACCACTCTTCTGACAATTTTGGACAGAATGGCACCTCACGCTGTGGTCCAGGCCGTCATCGATCTCTCTGCTGGAGCTATAGGTAAACTGACTCGCCCCCTAAACAGCATGTGTTCCTGGTGCTTCGAGTCAGAACTTTTTTTTTTTTTTGAAAGAACTTACAGGTGAATGTGAGCAAATATTGACACCTTTTTAGTATGTGCGCAAATGACCTCAGACATCTGTTTGCCCCCTTTTTTTTCTGGCTCATTTGCCTCTATTGTGCATTCGGCTCACTTATTGAGTCTTAAAAGTATACAAGGGACAAAGGTACAAAACTCAAGAATGAATTATTCAACTACGTAATGAGATACTCGCCTCATCTCCTGTATTTTTATCGTTTGGCTTATCAAGACATTTCGGAAAATTCTATATTGTCTCTGCAAACAGTTTGAGAGCCCTCACAACGCATCATCGAATGCTCGCCTCGCATACCAAGCGGTCATTCATCTGCCTGGGGGCAAAACGGCTCGTTACTGGCCACTCTTCTATGGAACGGGAATCTTTGGTGGAGAGATGCCAGGACATTGTTTGGCTAAATGCTTCTCCTCCGGGCCTTTTTAGCATCAACAAACAAGAACATTTGCAGTGTAGCGCGAAGCGTGACCTGGCTGGGTGACAATGTACACAGACATCCTGTCTTGCTGACATCAGCATGTTTTCAGGGTGTGGCCCTGTCTCTTGCAATAGACAATAACCCGATTAATACATTTGAAAAAAGATTCATCCATCTTCTTCTTTTTTTTTTTTTTTTTTTAAATCTCTGCCAAGAAGCTTCACAGGGGATAATTTTTCCATCCGGACTAATGTTACTGCAGTCGCACACACCACTCGTAGAAAAAAAACTGGCCGATGGCGGTGAGCCAGGAGTCCATAAAGACAGAGAACGTCCAAATTTCAAAATTATTTCACTCACGAAAAGAAGCTAATGTGCCTTATTTTGTGTTTGTTAACCGTGTCTCTTTGTCTCATGCTAGGGGGGGCCGCGTGCGTTTTCAGCGGCCAACCCCTTGACACAGCCAAGGTCAAGATGCAGACCTTTCCCACACTCTACAGGGGCTTCATCCACTGCATCACGTCTACATACAAACAAGTCGGTATCCGCGGTCTCTACCAGGGAACCTCGCCGGCTCTGATGGCCAACATCGCTGAGAACTCCGTGCTCTTCATGAGCTACGGCTTCTGCCAGCAGGTCATTCGCTTCACGGCGGGCCTACACAGTGATGCTGTGCTGAGGTAGGAAAAATGTAAACAATAAAACGCCGCAGTCTGTAGGCGTGAGAACGGTTTAAGATCTGTGCGTGTGTGCCCCCCCTTCGCCTGCTAGTGACATGCAAAAAGCGTGTGCCGGCTCGGTGGCGTCCATCTTTTCTTCGCTGGTCCTCTGCCCTACAGAGCTTGTCAAATGCCGTCTGCAAGCCATGTACGAAATGGAGGCATCGGGCAAGATCGCAAGGAGTCAAAAGTAAGTCGTTTCAACAAGACTTGTTCTGATACATTGCTTCAATCCATCCAGCACTCCACTCTAGTACGGTCTGACCCCACATACTGAGAATCTCTGATTCACACACGAGGGGGTCTTGTTTTAGTTTGTCGTGCAGTTTATTTTGACAGTATACTTCAACTTCGGAGTGGCATTAAAACAGCTTGAAGGCTGTTTTTGAAGAATTGTTTGACCCGTAAATGCTGCTAGCTGTGAAATGAGCTGAGCAGAGTTCACAGCCACCAAAGCGTGCTCGGATCAGAAATGTTTGTGAAGTCTAAAGCAAAAAAAAAAAATCTGCCGGAGGATTTCTTGTCTCTCAAAAAAACTTGTAAGTTGGATTGCTCGTATTTCAAGACACCATTGTCTTTTTTAGGTGGAAAACGCACAGAAAGTGTCAATTTTAGTTTGCAGCTTTCAGTGTGCTTAGCAGGTACATTTCGGTTTAATGGCCCAAACGATAACAGCGATTGAATGAATCAGCGACGCTAGGTATGAACTCGGTTTTCTGATTCTTACCTCTGCGTCCTCTCCCTGCAGCTCGGTGTGGTCTGTGGTGAAATCCATCATGAAGAACGAAGGCCCGCAGGGTTTCTTCCAGGGCCTGACCACCACCATTGCCAGAGAGGTCCCCGGCTACTTCTGCTTCTTTGGCGCCTACGAGCTCTGCCGCAGTGCCTTTGCCGACTACATGAAGTGTGAAAAAGACGACATAGGTGAGCGTGCCGCCGCCGCAGTGCATTCTGGGAGAAATACCACGAGAGCAATCATCATCATATGCATGATAATGCGTTTGCGTCTTACCGTGGCGTAGGCGTGGCTCCAATTGTGTTCAGCGGAGGTTTTGGAGGGGCGTGCCTCTGGCTGGTGGTCTACCCCATGGACTGTGTCAAGTCTCGAATCCAGGTCATGTCCATGACGGGCAAACAGGGCGGCTTTTTCAAAACCTTCATGACTATCGCACGCACCGAAGGTAGTAAATCTAGTCAGTCTTTTATCATCCTAATGAGTTTAAATCATGATTTGGGTCCTTCTGTTTTATTTCTTGCTCGAAGGTATTCGAGCCCTGTACTCGGGTCTCACGCCCACCTTGGTCCGCACCTTTCCTGCTAACGGCGCACTTTTCCTGGGTTATGAGGTCAGCCGCAAGGTCATGATGAAGCAGTTTGATTGCTGAGTTGCACATTTTTCAACGAGTTCAGAAGGAGTAGAGGTCACCACGGATGGTGATGGAATCTTTTTTTTTTTTTTTTTTGATCGAACTTGCTCGAGTTCATCTCCGTTTCTTGTGAATTTACACATTGTGTTTACGTTTAGAGCTAACAATTGTTTGTGCCATCGAGAGGTTCTACTGCCAATTCTGATTTCTGAGAGACAGCTTTTCTAGGTGGCTTTGTCCACACTACATTCTCGCCTACCTCAGTGTCGTGAAATGCACAAAAATAGGCAAGTGTTTGAAGCCTTTCGGAGCATTTAATGTATGCGCACACATGAAGTAGGAAAAACAAAAAACACTCCTTTTGAATGCTTGAACGTTTTCGAGGCTTGAAACAGACCTTATGGGTTTCGCTGATCTAATGATGCCACTCGTTTTATCTAACTTTTAGTATTTGGAAATTCTATTCATGGTTCGTGTGTTTTTAGAAAGTGAGATATTTATTTCCTAGTTTTCAAACTAACTGACTGGTGTCTTGGATTTCAATAACGGGGTGTGTTTTGACAAATCCAAATTCACTAAATTAACTCAGTGTTTGCCTTCAGATTTTGTTTCCAAATGATCACACCTTTTGCAAAATTCCTACAAAAAGGTACAGCCCAGCATTTGCCTTTTAAAATTCCATATTTTGCCTTTTTTTTTTTTTTAGTAGTCCACTAAATGTACTATTTGCACTCCATGTATATGGTTGCTCCAGTGTTTTGCAAAACACAAATAATCCCAGTCACCCTTGTTGAGACATGTTTTATTAAGAAAATGCCAACAATTGAACTCTATACATGATATATTTAATTATCTTGATATTGTAGTTATAATATCCATATTAAACGTTCCACTGAAACAGCTTATTTTCCTGTGTTTCTTTTTAGCATCCTTGACAGATTTTTACTGAGAAGCATCAATTCTGTTGCAGTTAACGGTAAACAATATGGTGGTGCGTGGAGTTAACAATCTTATTCTTGTTATAGTTCAGTCACTCTTCACCCCCCCCCCCCAAAAAAAAAGTTAAGAGAGATTCAGCTCTTTATAAAGATTGTAGAGCATTTTAGGTTCGACCTGAAATTCCAGCCGAAAGCCAAATATGCCTTGAAGGATTTTGTCAGCCGAGTATATTCAACAAAACACTCAAATTGACATAAGGACGTGTGAACCAGACGTATTTTCTAGAGCGTGTGATGCAGCTGCTTGCCAACAGGGGCCGCACTGCAGCTACGAAGCAAAAGACAAATGAAACGCGCTATCTTCGGACCCATCTCAGCCTGACCGTGTTGCATTCCAACCTGTCTGTCGGAATTCAGATGACGGTTTTGCTGGCGCAGGTTCCACACAGGCAGCCGAAGAGGCCGTTGATCATCTGGATGGCGCACAGAACCGCTTGCAGGCAGCTACACGCCAACAGGGTGCCGAACAATCCCGTGTTGAACTGCACAATGTTCTTGGGCTCCGTGCATTTCCCCCACCATGTGTTGTCGGTCAGGTAACTCGGGTCGCTGGGCACAATGGAGAGTATCAATATGAGTGTCAATATGACAGGGAAGAGAGAAAATGTCGTGATTGCCAGTCATCCAATCGTAAATCAACCTCATCGGGGTGTTACCTGTCTTTGAAAGGCGTGGTCCATATCAAGATGACTTTACAAAGGGGGCCATTCTTCAAACCGAGTGCGGCCACACTCAAACTGTACAGCGCGCCGGCCACGCCCACTGCGGCAAACGCAATCGATAAGAACATCTGAGGATGCGAAAAAATAAGCAAAGTTAAGGAATATGTCAAATGGAATTTGACGCGGGGTCCCATGACATCCCTTTCTGTTTAGTCCTCGCGCATTCCTCACATCCTTTCAAAGTCACAAGGCTGCTCCACAAGTATTGGAACAGTGCTTTTTTTATTTTTATTTTTTTTTAAACTTGGTTTCTGTTGAGTGAATTTGGTTGCTGACATCGTGTGCGGCATTCATGAAGGCTAATGTGTCTGTCCAAGAAGAAGCCACGCAAGCCCAAGCCACAGATGAATTTGAACAGTATTTCGTCCTCTCACCTTTCATGCTTCCATGAATTTGATAAAAGTTAGTTTGCTTGTCCGTAAAACATTCTCCCTGAATGTTTGAGGGCCGTCTCTGTACTTTTTGGCCTTTCTGTTCTTCTTGCTAATGAGTGGTTTCTATCTTCTCTAAGTGTTAGTTCACCAAGTCTGTAAACAGTTGATTGTGAAATCTTAACTCCTGCCTTCTGGAGGTTGATGTCACCCACGGTTGTTTTGGGGGGCTTTGCAGCGCTCAGGACGTTTGATCTTCGACTACTGTTGTCGTCATTGATCAACCTGTTTTAGTGTCTGTTCCTGAGTACGCCAAGGCTTTCTTTCTTCTTCAGACTCCAAATGATATTACGATTAACTATATTTGTGCAATGGCTCGGATTGATTCCCTATCAGGTGAGCATCAAGACAGCGCTCTGGGTTGCATGCTACTAAAACCTTGATATACGAAATCGCAGGACCATAATTTGCGCATTAGATCCAGATGTAAATACCCTGTCGACTATGCAACAAATTCACACCGATATTTACATTGCGGCAAAATGTCTTTCAACCTGACTTTATAATTCATGACATAGGTCAACAGTAAAAATACAGTAAATGGCGTTGAGCCGAATAAGTCGTATCACTCACCCCACAGCGATTCCCACAGCATCCTTGTTTTCCAGTCACGTGGATATAAAGTGCCGGTAGCAACACCTGAAACAGATTGAGATTGAAATTCATCACATGAACGTCATGATGGACTAATAGAGGTGTGACAGATCCTATCTGGAAGGCGAATCAAAATTCCATTCTGATTATCCTCGCAGCGTCTGATCCAGCTGCACAATGTCACGAGGTCCGACAAATACAGGAGCTGCATCCAAAAAAAAATAAAATCTACTGTTCAAATGTCAATGAGGCTCAGTTATGAGGAAATAGAAATTACTCAAACTTGTGTGTTGGATTTTCTGAGTGCGCAATATCAAACGTGCATATTTCCGCCTTTGCGTTAGGTAAGCTTTTTTTCCTAAAGGTGTACAAAAACAAAGGAATGCGCCACAACTCGGAGTCACACCCTTCAGGAGAGTGGTCGTAGACAACTTACCATGACTCCCCCGCCAATGAGTCCTCCCATATATTTCACCTCCTCGGTAATATGTCCATCTTTAGCGTACTTGATGTCCCCATCAGGAAAGAACAACACTATGTTACAAATGATGGATATGAGCGCTAATGGGTACAAAGTCACAGCGATACAACGAGAACAGGTCCCAGTGCACATGTTGGCAGAGTAAAATTGCTGCTGTTGCGCAGAGGGGAGGGGGGAATTCTAAGAATTCCTGTTCAGGACGTTTAAGCGGCTCCCTTCCTCTTTCCCTTTTCTGTTGAAGAAACTGACACTGGTAGGGTGGAAGCGTGTGTACTTGTACGTTCACTCTGTGTGTGAGGGTGTGGGAGGTCGGAATGACAAGCAGATACCATGGACAAACAAAATCTGGGATAGGCGGCGGAAGTAAATGTGACTCATTCCATGAGACAATCCCTGTTTTTGTTGAGTGCACATGCACATTTCGAAATGGCCCGTAAAAGACATCAAGAGGTGAAGCGGAACGTCAGGCGCATGAATCATGTCATTTTCATCTGATGATAAAGTGGCATGGATGAATTTTGGTGAGCCAATTCTGTCAAGGTGCTCGTGGATATTGCGATTCCAGATTTACAGCGCGTTTTGGACTTTGGACACTGCGAAGTGTTGCAAGAACAATGTCAACGGCATTGACTGCCGGTGAAACATTTATGAACGGCTTCTGTGGTAAAATATGAATCACAGAGGCTACACTTTGATGTTGGCGGTGTTTGTCTGAGCATATGCGGGGTTGGGGAAATTTATATGGGTAGCTGATGACAGAGAAAACAGACCAAAACATGTTTGGTTTCCTGGCAACCTACAGTCTGGGCAGCCGGGTTTCTTTGTTTTTACAGAAGCTGTCGTACCGACGTGTACTGTTATAAAATGCTTCTCCTGGCGCAAGCTGCAATTGCAGACTGCTGACCGCTAACAACGTCCGATGATGCAGATCATGTGCCACCGAAGGTCGGATTGTTTGATTTCCAAGACACTTCATCTGGGTCCTTTCAATGTGGAGAATCAGTCACATAAATACGTCTATGTATCGATTTTACAAGCATGTTTTCATCAAATCCCTGAACATCGAATAGGTAATCGTACCTGTAATTACATTAAACGACGTTCATTAATTGTTTGCATTCTGTTCGATGAAAGATTAATGTTAAGTTGATCGGGATCTTATCAGGAAGACTGTCTTCTTTCAATGAGAATATATGTAAATATGCGTTGGACCGTTTGGTTTCGGGGGTAGTTAATCGGTTAAAGATTAACTTCATATTGACACAGATTTTCCATTGTATTATCCAGGCGCGAAAGAGACAGGTCACCCTCTGTTTAATAAAAGAATTGGATTTGAGGAAAATGCAGAAAATGCAATTCTCTTTTACTTCAAATTCCTTAACATTATACAACTACGTGATCAAATTATTCCTGCGTGAGATGCTTGTCTCACAAAAGACCATGCATGCCATTGTTTTCGTCATTGTTGAGACAACCCTGCAGATCGCATCCGTTCGTTGTACCATTAAACAGACTATGCATTTCCACCAGGCTCTCACTTATGTAATTAAACTAAGCACATCGTCCTGTTTTCAGCCCCTTTTACTACCAGACTGCAATCCGAGTTGTTGCTGACACGGACAAGAGCATACATTTACTTCTGTTGTTTGTATATGGCGATCCAGACTTTTGTCAGGTAAAGGTCCTGATTAGATTCGTGCAATCTCTGTGGTACGCCCTTTCTCAGTGATCAAAAAGAACTTTGTTGACATTGATGAAATCATGGCACAGAAAAGGTTTGCTCCGGAGTAATCAAACTTCCAAGAGCCAGGGATGTGCTGCGAGCGGGGGAAGATTGCGATGAATTTGGCTTAAATTGTTATGACAGTGAGTGGCGGCTAGCAGATGAGAATGTTCCAACGGTGATCTGGATGGAAAGTGAAAATTCTGAGCACAGAATTACACTCGAGATTAATGTAACCTTGTAGCATTTAAATCCAAAATACTGAGGATGATTGTTTAAATATTTTCACAAATTGGTGAGGCGCACGTGAATTTTGGTGTTTTCTAACATTATGTAAACGTTATTTGTTGTTCTTATGAAATTTTCTAACATTATGTAAACGTTATTTGTTGTTCTTTTTTTTTTTTTTTTACAAGCACATCAAACGTTTTCGGCTGTCGCGTCAAGGAAAAATGACGGCTCTAGATTTTGTCAGTAGTTTCAAAATTCGGGTAGTCCACGTGAAGCTTTGGTGCCGAGTGACATCGAACCCGGAAGTGCTGCGTGGGTTCAGTCCGATAGCGTTGCGTGCAACACGCTCAACATGTCCACGTCGTCTCCCGTCAAAAATTTCCTAGTCAACCATTTCATGCCGGAGAAATGGAAGCTTTGGTGCCGAGTGACATCGGACCCGGAAATGCTGCGTGGGTTCAGTCCGATAGCGTTGCGTGCGACACGCTCAACATGTCCACGTCTCCCGTCAAAAATTTCCTAGTCAACCATTTCATGCCGGAGAAATGTTATACGGAGCTTTTCGTCAACTTCTATTTACACGGTGAGGCTTGCTGTCAACACATTTGGTCGCCCGATGTGGGCTGCTTGTTCACCTGCCAAGTATGCGAAAATAGTTTCAAACTTAAGAGAAGGGAGGAGGAACGTCAGCGTTGAAACGCACTCTGTACGTTGCATTGCTTTACTGTCTCCATTTTTTTATGTGTTATTTTTATTTGCAGTGCCATGTTTGACGTTAGTCCTCAACAAAATCATCGGACTGTGGCTTGTTTTGAACGTAGTTTTTGGTAAGACTGAATATCCATTGATGGTGGATAAAGGTGTGATCATTACACAATCATCAAAAAAAAAAAAAAACTTATCTACACGCCCTGTACTGGTGGTCCAATATTAAGTGTTCAATATAAACACTGCATCAACACTTTTCCAATGCGTTCATTAATACCCTATTAAAATAACAGTTTTAATTTGCTATTGGATGTACTGCACAGTGGTACGAACTATTAACGGAGTTATCCACATGTCAATTGCTTATTACCTTCAACACATAAGAGTCAAACAAAACAAATCTAAAATTAAACATCCTTCTAGTACTGAATACTGTTATAAACACACAATAAATGTCAAGTTATGAGCGTTTTATTTTTTTTTCATGATACCGATGAACCAGTTATGAATTGGAATTTTGCTTTAGAATGTTTACAAATTCCATGCCACAAATTCGACAAAGCGAGGTACGTATTTGTCCCCACTACCCATCCACATTGTGCTTGTAGCTCAGCTCCTGCAGCTGCTCAAGATTCTATGGAGACGGAATGCGGAGGGCGTGAATTCAGCTTCCATCCTGCTGCAACTTTACGCCTCGTCTGGACCTGTCCTGTTCGCCATGACCCACAACTTCCCTCTTCTGTTAGTGTTTAACCAGCATGTGATGCATATTGACAATATATTCACGCCAGGTGATACATTTACCTGGTACTTTTATTTTCTGGAATTAACTTCCGTGTCGTTCGAAAAAGTAATCAAAAAGTTCGACACAGTTCTTGGTATGATGCACCACTCAAAACAACAACCACAATAATATACATTGTTAAATGAACACAACTGCGGCGACGTTGTTCTTGTAAATGCAAAATTGTCGATACAGCTCTTGTTTTTCCCCAATGTGATTGTGGCAGTTTCTTTATATTTTGGCTGTGTGATTTTTTTGGGGCTGAAGAAGTGTGCAGAACTCGTATGTGCCAATAGCCTGCAGCTAGACAGACTGTGTTAATAGTAATTACAAAAAAAAAAAAAAAAAAGGGGGTTACACCTTGTCACAGGTTTGATCATGTTCCTAAATCTGCTGCCTTGGCTTGACAGTTTCTTGATCGAACGTCATTTCCTGTTTTGCGTACCTTTTTACTGCAGTGCCTGGGGTGAGAGGCTTTTCTTGACCATCCAGACCACAATGATTCTCTTCCTCATCCTGCATTATCGGGGAGACACTTTTAGAGGTGAGCAGTAATTCTTTGTACCCGCACTTGTTAATCTGTCTGCGGTATTCTACAAGGTCCCATATTCCAACGTCATGACGTATTAGGACAACAGTGAGTGTCTTAAAAGCCAAGTAATTGTTGCTGAGCAAACAAACAACAAACCACTAGCACCACCTGGTGGCAGTACTTACTTCTTGCCATATTACCAGTGATTTTTCTTTTTTTTAACAATGACATCACATCCTCTCATCTATGTTCATGTGGCAGGTATTTTGTTTGTGTTGGCTTATGGTGGTTTAATAGTCCTCATGGGATCTTATGCACCTGCGCAAGTTATCTCGGCAATGCAGTCTTCCAGTTTGGCAGCAATAATTGCAAGCAAGGTAATAGTATGAAAAGTTCAATAAGACATTGATGTGTTAAGTGCCCAAGTAAAGTTAAAATGTGCAATGTACTGTATAATGAAGACTGACTTACTGGATTGGCTGTTTCAAGATTCTTCAGGCAGGAACTAACTATAGGAATGGCCACACGGGTCAGCTGTCATCTGCGTCTGTATTGTTATCCTGTGCAGCCTCCTTGGGTCTCATCTTTGTTTCACTGCAGGTATGTAAAAAAAATGCAATTTTTTTTTTTTTTGCATTCATCAGCAATGGCTACCACTAATTAAGTGATTGTAACCTTTGTTTTGTAGGACACGGGGAAGTCTCTTGCCACAGCTAGCTACCTCATGTCGGCCTGCTTCAGCTGCATCTTGCTGGCTCAGGTCCTTTGCTATGGGAACAATACTGACGGTGCAAAAAAAGAAAATTAAGTAAAAACAGAGGACAGAAAAAAACAGACTGGGTTTTGATGCTTGAATGAACAACATGTATGTGTGACTTACAGATTTCCATGATGAGCTGCTATTTATAATGAACATTAAAGGTACACTGTGTTGAATATGGTGCCATCTAGTGGTGAATTCACAGAATAGGGAAATTATAGATTGGAGGGTGGTGGGGACCAAAAAAAATTCACAGTACAAAGATGATTGATGATTTATTGGCATTTCCTGTTCCCTGTACACAAACAGTCGTTGCCCAAATCAAGACAGAGCAGTTTGCATCACATTCAGTGGAAATGTTACTGCATGGTATCAAAACAGGCCAAAGAAAATTCTTGTAAAAGCACGATATTAGTCATATTGACCACACCATTCAAGCAAGCATGTAGGCAAAATCATTTCCAGTGCATCTCTGACATATTCAAATACTTTATAAATAGGTTGGTCAGGTTAAATCAGTATCGCTAATAATTATTGTATGATTTTGAAACAAGCATATATATATATATATTTATATATATATAAATTTTTTTGTAATCAAAGTCATCAAAGTTGATCTATGGTCGGTTCTGTCACAATCTTCACTGTCACTAAATATTGCTAAATAACATACAATCTATTTTGCGTCATCCAAATCTGCAGCAACACAAAACCAACTTTACATCTGATTTGATCTAAAACAAATGTATTCAGGTGACGAAGCAATTGCACGGCATACTGTGCTTATCAGGAATTTCCTGAACGTTTCATTTTTCAGTAACGTCTGGAAGGGTGTATTTTTACCATCCTAAGCGAATTCTACTGACTCATGGGCACTGTACAGTTCATGAGTTCCCAAACAAAAAGTTCCAGAACACACACGCACACACACAACATGTACAGTACTATTGACATATCAAAATACTGACTGGCGTGAGGTATACAGTAGAAAATCTAAAATCCAAATCGGCCAAAGCCTTTGCTCTGATGACATTCGTCACATATTTTCCAGGAAAAATAAAAACCTTTTTTTGACACTTGGATGATAAAGCAGTTCATGACGGCACTTTGCCCATACAATAGGGGTGATTTTATAAATATAAAACCTCTGAAGATTCAAAAATAAACAATTTGTATGCATATTTTGACAAAGCATTTCATAAAATATGGTACTCTTTTATACTCTTTTAAATGAGTTTGAGCAGCAGATACGAATGTAACTAAACAACTCAAAATTGACCTTCTGTTTTAATAATGGGGTATTCATTGCTTGTATGACTGAGGTGAGCTCATGTGTCCTAAAACACAACACACATTCGACAATCGGCATCTAAGAATGGAAATGTATGAGAAGACATTAATCACCCCTCCAAGAAATTCTGATTAAGGCGATTTTAATAGATTATCCATGGAGACGAACTAATCACCACTTTCAAATGCTTGATATGAAGAAAAAATTGTGGAGTGTTTTTTTAATGGCCATTTGGACCACTGAAATGACAAAAAAATAAATAAATGAACAAAAATGGATACCTTCTATCAATTAACAATGTCACAAAAAGATCATTGATTAGCCTCAGCACTGGACAGTGGCATGGCTTGAACTAGCAGGATTCTCTCTCTGGCAGATTTTGAATAGGCTTCGACAGGTTGGCATGGAATGATGTGACGTTGGAGGTAGCACGGCAATAATATTGCCATCCACTGAATTTTAACAGTCAAGAGCCCACATTTGATGCGGTGAGGTTTAGAGCATTGTACATGCGGTGTGCAACATTTTTTTTGACTTCCCTTTCCTCTTTTTCATTCATATTACCCCGGCTCCTTTGTTATGAGAAAAGCAAAAGAGCACCTGGTTTTTGGTTAACCTCATAACATCAACTCATTTCATGAAAATTCCTTGGAACCGGTGGCTCGTCGCTTAATGACTCACCATTTTCAACTTCTTGGTCCCCTGTGTTATCTGAACGGCTGGTACAATTTGCGTAGCTCTTCCCAAAAGAACAAAGAAAGAATGGTGTGAGGACCAATCCGGAAATAAGAGGCTCCCAAACCTTTGTAGAGTCCCGTTATGCCCTCCTTTTTCAGTGTCTTTGAAAAGCAGTCAGTGAACCCTTTATAGAGCAGCCCCTAAAAGGACAAAAAGGAATATTTAGCTCTGAAAAAGACAAGACTGGGACTTTTCCTTCCACTAGGTGTCACGTAAGAAGTAAGTTTGACCAAAAACTGTCATGAGCCTGAGCCAGAAGTGGTGGGAAAAAACCATCAAAACAAAACCACACAGAGCAATGAAAAGACGGGGGCTGCACTAACATTCAATTTTGATGTCAAGTAGGGGGCTGCAAAATATCATTGCGAATGTACGACTTGATTTATGTGTTACTCAACCTATCTCCTTGACACTTTATGTTTTGTCTGCTACTTGCTAATGCTACTTCTCTCACTGGCTGACAAGTTCCAAAATATCAAGAAGAGCAGTGTGGGCAGTAGAACAGGTCACATACTTCAGTCATAAATCGTTTTTTTCTTGAATTTATCTGTTATAGATGATTTTAGAAGAATATGATGTGCTCATTCCATGATTAAAAAAAAAATAATCCAGAAATCTGGCTTCGACTCAGCCACAGTTAAGTCCCATTTAAGCTTCGGCTCTTTGCCAACACTGCTGTTTACATAGGAAGGCAACCAACACACAAACGCGAGCTCCTAGTCTGTGATGAATGCATTCGTTTGTCCCTTCGCGTACTCAAGCTCACCTTGCCCTGATGATCCACGGGCTGATTGTAGAGCCTCGTGCTCACCACATCGAAAGGTGTCATCGCCAGCACCACTGCCACGCTGCTGATCATGCCAGCGCTCAAGCCCACCAACCAGCTGTCCCTTGGAAACACCTTAGGAGGAAAACAAACCAAATTTTTTAAAAAAGTTCTCACAAAAGTAGGAAAATAAGATCAAGGGTGTTAAATTTGTTTCCATTACATGAAACATCATAGTCCAAGTTGCCCTCTAGGGACAGATTATAACGGTGAAACCACATAAAAGTAATACGCCGGTAATCGCTAGGACTGTAACAGTACACACAAAAAAAAAAAAAAACACGGTTTGGTGTTGGGTGAAGTAAGGGAACTTGAGCATTGTACAAACTGGGTCACTTTTTATAAAAGTGTACATTTTTAGGAAAGTGTAAAATCCAAAGGATCTCACTGAAGAGCAAACCTAAGAATTTGGAATAGTGAATCATGATGCTGTCAGAGCATTTGTCATTTCTATGTCGCTATTTGAAGAGCGCTGGAGAAGCGGTTAAAATGCTACTGGAAGTTGGGTTTCTTGCACAATAGAGATAATAAAACTATGCTGTCAGAGCATTTGTTATTTCTATGTCGCCATTTGAAGAGCGCTGGAGAAGTGGTTAAAATGCTACTGAAGTTGGGTTTCTTGCACAATAGAGATAATAAAACAAAAAACAGCCATAAGAGAGAAGCTGAGCTGCACGTGGCTTAAGAGTGCAAAGCTGGGTCCCTTCCCTAGCGGTGATATGACCTGTGTGGGAGAACCCTCAAAATCGCCCCACTTTTCAGCCTTTTTTCAAGCACGATTTAACCCATTTAATCCCAATTTTTCCCCAGACATTTAAAAGTCAAAATCAGGTGTCATTGGTAGCCCTTTTAAGTAATCAGTAATAAAAAAATTTAGAGCCCTGTAAATTAAATCATTGTTGTCCTTCACAAATGTGACCGGTGGGATTAAATGGGTTAAGGAAAAAATGTGACAAGTTTTCATAAAAGGACTTGGAGTGCAGGATCAAGCTTGCCGGCCTTGAGTTTGACATTGCTATGCAACCCACTGATGTATTTGTCTACTGTAGTTCTATTGTTAGTATCTATGCTCGCTCACCCCCATACACAGACATGATTTGTGCTCTTTATCAAAAAACCAAACAAACACTGTGATCAATAGAGACAAAGGGTGTGTTTCAGTGAGGAGAAAACATATCTGACTAGTTAAACTCGCTCCATGAGAGGGGAAAAGGGGAACTGGTGTAACGACATTTATGGCGTCTTTGGTGCTTGTGTTTTGGGGGCATTGTTATTTTAAAGCAGCAGTTAAATTTACACCCTGGAAACTCTGCGGTTGCAGTTATGTAAGCTCTGTTTTGGGGGGGGGGCACTGAAAGGTGTCACATTTCTGTTCTAGAAGGTCGCGCTACAATTGAACTGTCTATCGACTGTAAATGATTTGTTACAGCCTATTGAGCACTGGCAAACCTACAGACTTCATTATGTCTTCAAAACTGAAATGGCAAAATGCCCTTAGTGTAGTTTCTAATTATGTATAAACACACGTGTAGCCTGTACAAGATGTTCACACTTGGCAGAAAGCAGTCACGTGTTCTAACCTGAAGATCAACCACCAGTTCTTTGGCAGAGGAGAAGGTGGACAGTTGAGACGCTGACCCCACGCTGACCCTCGGGATGGCAGCGCTCGACCCCCGCCACAGTCCTTGAATGCCGTGTTCTTTATATATGGCCGCCAGGGCCTGAGACATTCCCTTTTTTGAGGAAGAAGAAAATAAATAAAATGAAGACACATTAAGATATTCCGAATTGAGTTAATCCAGTGATCCCCGACTTTTATTGGGCCTAGGCACATATTTTGCATGACAAAAGTCTTACAGCACAACACCAACAGACTATGTCACAAAAAGATACGTATTGTATGCAGAAATAATGATGCATGGTGGACGAGCATTCAATTATGGTGTTTGTCGCTGACATTGATAGCTTTAAAAATTTAAATAAATAACAATACTTGTTCTGAGAAGTAATATTACTTGAGTTTGTTTGTATAAGGCCCAAGGAAGGTAACAGTTATTTGCTCAAATCGGAAGTAAACAAGACCTTTCCTTGCTTTTGGCTATTAAATGCGGCAAATTAGTGATCATCTGGTGAACAATGTCCTTATTGTTAAATTTCATTTGCACAAAAACGAGTCCATTCATTCCTTTCATTTATGATAAATAATGACATTTGGTTACAGGCAAACCAACTCAACGTAAGGCTTTTTGAACTACAACTAAGA